TTAAGGTATACGTACCTCAGTCAGAGGTACAAATTAGGCACATTTTAGGTATACCTCAGTCAGAGGTATAAAAAAGGCACATTTTAGGCATGCCTTAATTGTGCCTAAAATGTGCCTAAAATGTACCTATATTGAACAGGTTTTAACCCCTCCTATTCTGTCCTCTTTTTCTTCCCTACCCAAAATGTACCTAAGGCATGCCTTAGATATACCTAAGGCATGCCTTAGGTACCCCAAAAAGTGTACCTCAAATGTACCTTTTTTTCCCCTGGGAAGGCAAACAATAGGGCTGCACTATACATTGACATGGTCAAACTATACGTACATGTATCACGTGCACGATACTTGGGTGATACTGAAACAGACTGTTCAATGGGCATATATATGGCTTTAAAGGTTCACTCAACTTGTATCTTTTGACATGTATGCAGAGCCAGAGCTGTCACTCGCCATGTTGGAACTGATATGAATACGAATTAAAAAATGACAAAATCCTGCAAATATAGTAGGTGTATTCCTCCCAAAAAATATTGTGAAATGTACCGTTTTCAAAACACGAGATATATCGTTGCAGCCCTAGCAAACAAAATGGAGCCCACAGGTACTGGCATTGCCTCATCTCAATAACCCTAGACGGGTTTCTTATAACCAGTGGGTACTAGTACTCCTATAACATAAGAGGCTGTTGGTCGGCCTTTTTTCAATCGGATAGAATTTTGCCGGTTACACGAAGCCTGTCAAAAATATCTCGCCGTGTAAAACCTCTAACATTGTTGGAGTAAACCAGTGGGATTATCTCGCTTATAATTTGAAAACAATTATCGATGGAAAAGTGGTCACAACTGCAGCTCCCTTTGACTTATTTGACGGGGATTGTGGGGATTGGGAGTGTTGGAGGGAGGGAGGGAGGGTTCAAAAACAAATTTACTTCATTTTGTACTCGACCATTATATATGTAATTAGTAGTTGTAACATTTACACTTATATGTCTCATCACTCATCAGTGATAACATTTACACTGGATAGATCGCAACGGTAGCAAAGCTATGACAAACACTTCTATAGTAAGACGATTCGTCCTGTACCTAACTCTAATGTTACCCTGTAAACATTAACGGGAAGAAACGTCTATCGAACCGGCAATTTAGATGTCGACGATATATTGTGTTTCGATCCTAAATATTATGTTTAATCGTTAGCATTTACTACATTTGTAAGGACGATTGTTAATTTTTACATTACCTTGTCTCAAAAGTGACATTCGATGGTTGCCATGATTTATTTGGGATTCCTGAACTGGAAGTGAGCGCCATGCCTGTTATTATTGTTAACCTGAGGCGAACAGTCGTCGCCAGATCCTGTATATATTGGAACGATTGAGAAGTGTAAACTTTTCATGATATTTGGATAGTTTCGCATCACTGGTTAGTGTTAACAAAAAATACTGCTTACAGAATATATTTTCAAAAATGATTCAAAATTATAATATTTATTTATAATCAGTTAAATAGGCCTATTGTTTAAAAAATATTCCCACGGAAGTAAAAAATATATATTATTTTCGTATTAATTGCTATCTTTGTATGAATGGCGGCTTAGAGAGAAGCATAATTTCATTTGGTAAGACGTCTGTGAATCGTTGATCAATATTACAACGGAACGACATCAAAAATTCGCTTTTTAAACATAGAATTTTCTTCACCAGTTTTATCTACAATATTTACATGGATGCTGCATCAGCATTCACGTTATTCCTCCCTATACGAAGCCATAGTAGCAGGAAACTGGGGAGGGTGGTCCGCATCAAGTCGTTCCGGCCTCTCCCAGTCCGGCCCCCAAATAGGTCCGACCCTACCCGGTCCGTCCTTAGTAGTTCCGGGCCTAAAGTCGTTCCGGTCTCACTGTATTCCTTCACATATTACCATTGGATCATGTTTTATGCATGGATCATACATGTATATTTGGACAGGTCCAGTACACTATAAAATATATCTAACAAATACAACTAAGATATGTACGTATCTATTCCAATTCCTTGTTATAACTAACATATACGTAATGATAAAATATATCTAATACTTATAGTCAATATTTACGTAATGATGAAATAATATAACAATTATAACTAAACATATATAAGTAGTGATAAAATATATCTAACAATTATAACTAAAATATGTACGAAATGACAAAATATATCTAATAGTTATATTTAACATATACATAGTGATAAAATATATCTAACAAACATAACTAAAATATGTACGTATCTTATCTAATTCCGTGTTCAAACACTTACGGCAGTCGTCAGACATAATGAACGCAATGAATTTTCTATCAAAATATAAATACAACGTCTTTCATCAATTAAAAGTAAAAACAACGTCGGTAGACTATACACGGCGTTTGCTAGAAGCCATGCATACAGTTCTCAACACACAGGGTAGTAATATTAAGATAAACAAAAGACAGTGATTGTAATGTGTCTTAAATAGCAACCTTACTCCGTGTGCTTATATGTTTTAGACAACATACATGTAAAATGAAAAGAAAACAAATTTACAATGTGATACATGTTTTGATTTTATTTCTTTGAATTAGTAAAATAATTTATACATATTAAAGATAAAAAAAAAATGGAATTAAATTTTAAACATGAAACATATATATATGATATCATTATGGGGCCGGAACGACTTAAGAATACGGGGCCAGACCAGGTAGGGGCCGGAACTACTAAGGTCGCAATGACTATGGATGGAACAACTCGGGGGCTGGAACGACCTGTATTCGGGTGGTCAGCTTTTTTTTCTGTCGGCGCTTGTCAAAAGTTTATCGGAATAATAGCTTTTAATAGCTAATGTTAAATGTTTTTAAATATCCGACGTTAAATCAAGTTCATTGTATTGTATTGTATCGCCGTGTAAACCTCTAACACTATTAGAGTGGTTGGGGGGGGTCTATTTTTGGCACTACTGTCCTCGGTTTCGCTCTATGCACGCCTAGAATATGTCATAGCAAAATCGAAGGCAAGCGACTACAGCTATTTGATGGTCACAGGTAAAAAAAACCTGACCAATCACTAGGCTGATAGCTGTAGAAAAAGTCTGTCTTTTGAAGATTTACAGTAGCAACACCTAATTTCAAAGACTGTCATTTTCTTTTAGATGTACATCAAAAGATCAAACTAGTTTTCTTGTCTCGACACCACTCCAGGGTTGCAGAGAGCGGAAGGGGGCATATATAACCCCTGGAGTATCAAGGATGGGCACTACTGTACCTAATGCAGGATTATTACCCATATGTACCTTTGTGTGCAACTTGATTATTAGCTTAGGCCAAACAAAAAATATTTGGTGTTTCCAGTAACCCTACCTACCCTAAACTTTTTAATGCAAAAGATCTCTCACCTATATAAACCACAGAAAACTATTTTTTTAAATAAAATGTGTTGCCTATGCCTACCTACCCTAAATTTTTCCAACATGTTACAGGAAACAATATAAATTTTTTGTCTGGCCTTAATTAGCATAACTGCACTTTCCAATGATCCAGATAACTACTCACTGTATTCAATTGGGATTACAGCATCCTCGATATCCAGGGGTTACGCTCACTTTCGCTCTCTTCACCCCTGGAATATGTCATAGGCACGAAGATAGCTGTTTGATTGGTCTCGGGCAAAAAAAACTGACCAATCGCTAGGCTGATACCTGTCCTTTGAAGATTACAAAGGAGAGACGCCCAACTTCAAAGCCTGTCAATTTTTACCATTACATGGCTGCAAGATTCTTTTGATGTACATTAAAGGAACAAACTAGTCTTCTTGTCTTATCAACAGGGTGGCACACACCGAGCCTTCAATTTTGCTATGACATAATCCAGGGGTGTAGAGAGAGAAAGTGAGCGTAACCCCTGGAACTCGAGGATGGGATTACAGATGATTCACACTAACAGCCACACCCCATACCATTTCACCCCAATATTTTTCGGATTTGTTTACAGTCAACACTACAGTTCACTACTGCCTGATCTTTCGAAGGGGGCATACTAATCACCTTGCTGACTACAGCCAGCTTCTACTTAAATTTTCAATGATTATAAAAATGTTTTAACTTGAGACTGAAATGGCATATATACATTTTTCTATTTCTCACAAGTAATTTTCATTTTTATTTGTATTCTATGAGAACCTACAAAAAAAATGTTGTATTAAATATTAGGGGTGTCACAATACGCCAAAAATGTATCACAATCTATTGAAATACAGAATGAATATATTCCGATACGTATCCCGATATATTGTCATAGGAAGGATGTGCTCATGCAATTTTATAAGTCGTTGTCAGAATGTTATCAAACCTAATCATGTATAATATGGATTACAAAGATTAAATTTTTTCGTCAAACCAACCATCGATGACAAAGTTTGAACTATTAAAAGCCTGCTTTATGCTTATTGGCATATCTGTTAGAATTTGTAGTAATTTGGAAAGTTAAAAACACCAAGCAGATACATGTACATAAAAACACGCTTTTGATTTTTTTTGCGATACAGCAATAAATCATCTCTGTATTGTGGTACGATACGATATACCCGTGTATTGCGATATACCTGTTTTTCGATATATTCCGACAGCCCTATTAGTATTAAATATAATACGCCTACACTATCGATATATGGTGTATATTCTGTTACACACTATATATATATATATATAATATGGCACATACATATATATATTCTGTCAGGTATTATCTAAAAAATAATTAAATTGATACTACATGTATCACTATTAGTCTTCACATATTTATCAATGCACAAAGAAATCTTCATCAGTTGGACCAATATTAAATAACTCATTTTTATAAAAAAAAATGCTACCAATTACAGGCAAATCTTCAATAATCATGTTTTACTTTTAGAGTAAGACACGATTATCAAAGTATTTAAAAGAACATTATCAGGATAATTGCCTCCTTCTTTTAAACATAAAATAAAACAGATTGAAAAGGGAAAATTTACAAATCACAAAAAAGATACCTTCAGCCTATCACAAAATCCATTGGTAATGATTTGGGGCAATAACACTTTTCGGGCAAATAATCATTAAGCTGGCTTCCAGGTGAATAACTAAGTTATGGTATCTGGCTGCTAGGTAAATAGTCATCCACTATTTTAGATACCCAACTGCCAGGCATTTATTTAGCCATGGCTTCATTAAGACTCATCACAATGCACCATGCTGTTAATGTCTTTTAATGCAACAATATTACTACTATTATAACAACTTTAAAAAATGTGACTGGTTTAAATAATTTTAATTTTTCGTTTCAGATTGAAAAAGTTCTCGCATCAAAAAAATCATGGCTCTCAGCTTCGATGATAAGATTTTGGGAGAAAAGGTCAATAATTACTGCAGCAGCAGTGAGGATGAGGCAGACGAGGAAGACACCGGAGTGTCAGACCCAGAGGATGACGTCAAGAAAGCGATAAAGGGGCCGACGTTCATACCAGAACCAGAGCTTCAGGAATACCAAGGATATTCTACCAATGTAAATTTATCATCATATGGCAATTTGATTTATTTCTGGATTTGTTAGCTCACCATCTGGGACACAGTACCACAGTGAGCGTTTAGGTGGTGCTTCATCCACTGTCTGTCAACTTTTACATCAGACAACATCACCTCTAAAACTACTGAGCAATGGGCATAGTCAACCAAATTTCGACTCTCCTAGAGGCTAAGGGGCAGGGCAAAAATGGGATCAAATAGTTAGTTGATTTGACCACTGGACATAATTTCAGTTTTAGTGGTTTTCATACTAAGCCAATGGGTATTATAAATATACAAATAATATTTATACAAGTCCTGGGCATATAAATAAGGGGCATAACTCTCCAGGGGATGAGGGGCAGGATCAAAAGTGGTCAAGTTGTCAGATTTTGGTTTTACTGGATATATTTCAACCAAATTGTAGTCATTGTGGTAGTATGCTTCATCCATCGGAAGTCATTTGGTATGGGCACTTAGGGGAATCAGGGGTATTTATTTAAAAGACTATTGACTGAGAACACCATATATCTTTGTGACAAATTTTAAGTGTTCCATATGGAGTTACTGTATTACTGAATTATTGATTTTTTAGCATGCTCTTGTATATATAAGTTTTTAAATTGACTTACATTACGACAAGGTGAACTTTTCAGGCCCACAGGCCTCTTTTTACAAATTATCATCTTCAGTGTACATATATTTAGCTCACCTGGCCCAAAGGGCCACGTGAGCTTATGCCGTACTGCGGCGTCCGTCTGTCGTCCGTCCGTCAATTTTTTCTTTTAAACGACTTCTTCTGAAGAACTGGAGGACCTAGGGTCATGATATTTGGCTAGTAGGTAACTGGGATGGAGTGCTATAAAGTTTCCTCATTAAAATGACCTTGACCTACTTTCAAGGTCACAGGGGTCAAATATGTTCAAAACTTCAAACAACAATATCCTAAGAACCATTTGGACTAGAGTCATGATACTTGGGTATATTATGAAGACCAGCAGTGCAATCGTTTTTCTTTATTACAGTAATGAGGTCAAAAGTCAACTTTAAGTGCTAGTCAGGGGTCAAATGTCAACATGGGTTAAAAGCTTGGACAATCTTCTTCTCAAGTTCCATAAGGCCCAGGGTCATGATATTTAGCCAGTATGTACATGGCTTGGAGTGCTATAAACCTTCCTCATTAAAATTACCTTGACCTAGTTTCAAGGTCACAGGAGTCAAAAATGTAAAAAACTTCAAGCAACGATATCCTAAGAGGCATGTGGTCTAGAGTCATGATACTTGGGTATGTTATGTAGATCAGCAGTGCAAATATTTCTCTTAATTCCAGTAATGAGGTCAAAGGTCAACTGTTAGTGCTAGCCAGAGTCAAAAGTCAACGTGGGCTAAAAGCTTTAAAATTACAATTTCAAATTTCAAACAACAATATCTTGAGAAGCGTTTAGGAGATTTTAAAATGTCTTGTGTTCTAGTTACCAAACTTGGTCTGAAGTTACCTATATGTCAGTTTCATGTAACAAAAGAAACAGGTGAGCAATACAGGCCCTTTTGACCTCTTGTACAAATTTCATTTCATGAAATATCTCTGAATTTTCAATCCTTTTTTCAGACGGGTCCAAAAGGAGTCATCAATGACTGGAGAGAATTTAAACGCCTGGAAAATGAGAAGAGAGAAACTCAAGAAAAGGAAAAATTAGCATTGATGAAGAAATTGTCCATGACTTGTCGATCTCACGTAAGTCAATAGTGAAGGAACCTGTCCAACTTCAAATAGTATACCATATTCAGAGTTAATCGATACAACATTCAAAAAACAGTTCATATAAAATTGAGCACATTCTGTAAAGTTAACAACACTAAGTTTGGTTTTCTTCTGTATGTGGAAGTCAACATCATGATAATATGATACATGTATGTAGTTCTTTCTGTATATGTAGTCAAACTTTATGATCTTGAAGTTGGGGTTAGGCTTTTATAAATAGAATGTGTTTTCTATATCACCTTCTGTACTGCCTGTTTAACCTTACCATCCATAGCTGTGCGTGCAGTCTGATTGTTCATATTCACTTTGAACTGGAAAAAAATCTTCTGCATTCTTCAGTATGTCCTTTCATTACTTTTTAGCTTGATGATGAAAAAGAAAAACAGAAGGATGAACAATTTCTTCAAGAGCTTGAAGAATTGGATGATGAGTTTATAAAAGAATATCGAATGAAGCGCCTAGAAGAAATGAGGAAAGCACTTCAGAGTGTGTCAGTATTTTCTGTACTTGTTGCTACTAGCTTTAAGTCACCGACTTTTGCTCAGATTGTTTAAACTTATAATAAGGGGCTTGACGATGAGGTGTGACAGTACATTCTCTCTCACCATCAATTTATTTTATGTCTTAACAATTTACCCAGTGCAAATAAATTCATTCAATAAAAATTTAATTTTCAATGGAGAAAAAAAAAAGATTGTGCTACATAGTACAAAACAGTAGTTATCTCCCTTGAATCTAGAAACCTAGGCTACATTCGCGTATCCCGGTTGAAACGGTACGTGTGGCTCAGAAATTTTCCACGATAAACGAACACACTTGGACTGTTCTATAAGCAGAGCTAAAAATCCACAGTTTCGGAGAATAAAAAACAGTGTTTCAAGAATATTATGACCTTCTTTCATCCGTCCACTGAATTACATAACGTAACTTAAAAACTACATGTGACTTGACATTTTTTTAGAAAGAAATAACGCAAATTGGCAATAGTCAGCATTTTAGTTTCGGTCAGGCACGTCTGGGCCCTCAATCTAAACGTGCCAAATTTTCCTGAGGTCAGCCTCGGTCCAGATCTGTACCTGTCGTTTTCTTTACAGGTTCAACCGGTTCAACCGTTTCAACCGGTAACGCGAATGTACCCTTGATATATATAATTACCGTGTTGTGCCAATTGAATTTTTTCATAGTTTCTGAAAAAGAACTATGTGGTATAGGTAATACTATCATACCTATTTTACATAACAGTGTGTTTGATTGGATTATATTTATCACATGGTAGGGAAATAAAACATGTCGCCATCACATGCTTAGGTTTCCCCGGTCATACTTCCTTTATTCAGAGCCGATCTTGAAAAATTGACAATAGCCACCAAATCTGAGTTTCTAGGCAACTGAAGAAAATATCAATAATGGCACATCAACATGATCATCTTTACTGTTGTGCTTTTCTTTTCTTTTTGCATGATCAAATACATGTATGTATTGTCCTTTTGGTAGGGATACCAAAGAAAATTGTGTTTCCCGATTGATTTTGTGAATCCTGATTTATGTTTTGGAAACAGTGAACTGTGTTTACCTACAATAAGGGCATTATAAGTGTATAGGATCAATTTTATATATCTCTAGTGATATGAACATTTATTTACATGGGGTATGCTTTGCCCACAGGAGCTTCTAACTCCTTGGTTTATTTTAATTTCATGATACTGTTTCTATAATGGCCAAAGCAATCCAATCCTTCATATCATATGATGCTTAGAGTTTTATGACTAAAACATATTTCTTGTGTGTTTTTATACCAACAGACCAAAATTTGGAGAAGTTGTAGCTCTGAAGTCTAATAGTTTTGTGGACGCCATTGACAAAGAACCACCTCAAGTCACAGTCATCATTCACTTGTATGAAGATGTAAGTTGAATAGGTTAAACAAGGAACAATCTACAAATGTAGTGAAGAAACTAAAAATCGATAGTGTTTTAAATCTGAAGTATTAATGGAAAATGTATTTGCATTTTTCCTTATTTGTACCATTGTAATCAATAAGCGTAGATTGTATAACACATTCGTTTTGATTTTGTTGTATTACTTATTTTCCTCCTCAGAAGGAGGCAGCTTGTGAGTTGATGAACAAATGTCTGGCGTGTCTCGCACAAGATTATCCATCTGTCAAATTCTGCAACATCAAAGCATCAGAGACCCAAGTTAGTCATACGTTTGTAAGTACACGTTTACTGTAGTGACACAGTGTTATACGTTTGTAAGTACACGTTTACTGTACTGACCCAGTGTTATAAGTTTGTAAGTACACGTTTACTATAGTGACACAGTGTTATAAGTTTGTAAGTACATGTTTACCGTAGTGACACAGTATTATAAGTTTGTAAGTACATGTTTACTGTGGTGACACAGTATTATAAGTTTGTAAGTACATGTTTACTGTGGTGACACAGTATTATAAGTTTGTAAGTACATGTTTACTGTAGTGACACAGTGTTATAAGTTTGTAAGTACATGTTTACTGTTGTGACACGGTGATGTAAGTTTGTAAGAACATGTTTACTGTAGTGACACAGTGTTTTAAGTTTGTAAGTATGTGTTTACTGTAGTGACACAGTGTTATAAGTTTGTAAGAACATGTTTACTGTGGTGACACAGTGTTATACGTTTGTAACTACACGTTTACTGTATTGACACAGTGCTATAAGTTTGTAAGTACAGGTTTACTGTAGTGACGCAGTGTTTTAAGTTTGTAAGTATGTGTTTTCTGTAGTGACACAGTGTTTTAAGTTTGTAAGTATGTGTTTTCTGTAGTGACACAGTGTTTTAAGTTTGTAAGTATGTGTTTACTGTAGTGACACAGTGTTATAAGTTTGTAAGTACACGTTTACTATAGTGACACAGTGTTATAAGTTTGTAAGTACACGTTTACTGTAGTGACACAGTGTTATAAGTTTGTAAGTACACGTTTACTATAGTGACACAGTGTTATAAGTTTGTAAGTACACGTTTACTGTAGTGACACAGTGTTATAAGTGTGTAAGTACATGTTTACTGTAGTGACACAGTGTTATAAGTTTGTAGTACACGTTTACTGTATTGACACCGTGTCATAAGTCTGTAAGTACATGTTTACTGTATCGACACAGTGTTATAAGTCTGTAAGTACACGTTTACTGTAGTGACACAGGGTTATAAGTTTGTAAGTACGTGTTTACTGTAGTGACACAGTGTTATACGTTTGTAAGTACACGTTTACTGTAGTGATACAGTGTTATAAGTGTGTAAGTACATGTTTACTGTAGTGACATAGTGTTTTAAGTTTGTAAGTACACGTTTACTGTAGTGATACAGTGTTATAAGTGTGTAAGTACATGTTTACTGTAGTGACACAGTGTTATAAGTTTGTAAGTACATGTTTACTGTACATGTAGTGACACAGTATTATAAGTTTGTAAGTACATGTTTACTGTATTGACACAGTGTTATAAGTTTGTAAGAACATTTTTACTGTAGTGACACAGTGTTGTATTAAAAGTGTTAACCATACACATGATTATTTGCTAAACATTTGATCTGGGTTGAAGGAAAACATTGAAGAGAATAAAAAAGAAAAGTAATAAAAAAAATAAGATAGTTAGACCAAACACCTGCAACTGTGTTTACAAACATGAGAAATGTGCATATAAGTTGTTGAATTAACTGCAACTGATGATATATTCTTATATCTAAAAACATATTAATTTTTTGGTCTGTCAATAGTTAAATGTTAATTTTATAGTTAAGAACTTTTGATTTTAAAGTTTAATTTTAAGAGTGATCTGTCTAAATTCTCTTGGTTCGATGAAATGCAGTAGATATATTTGTTTGATGTCTATTTTTACCAGCTTCAAAAAATGCAAACGTGAACAAAAATCACAACCTAACATTTTTTTTTGTTTCAGGCCAAAATGGGTGTCCCTGCTTTGTTGGTGTACAAGGGGGGCGAAATGATTGGGAATTTTGTCAAGTTGACAGAGGAGCTAGGAAAAGATTTCATTTCCTCTGATGTAGAAAACTTCTTATTTGAGTAAGTTACACATTTTACCATTCATTAAACCAGTTGAACTTGCATATATGTACACTTGAAACATCCAAAGAGATTGCCCAATTTCAACTGTAAAAGATGTTGGTGCTTTGTATGTTCTTCAGATTGGAAAATTGTGAACAAAATCTAAATAAGACTTGATTGTTTTTATTCGTTTGTAATGTCTGACCACGATGACCTGTCGTGTTGACCTTTGGTTACCATAATGATTACAAGCAAGTCAATACTCAGATAGGGGGATACATGTAGATCTATTGTGTACATGTATGCAAGAGTTAAAAAACACACCAAAAAACACTGTGGTTATTGTGTTTTGAGCAAAAAAGTTGTAACGATTATTAAACGGTTGTCATCAATATTAATGAGCATATTATATTTGTTGGTATTGCAATAATTACTTGAGTTAAATAATTCATATCTTCCGTTAAGTAAATATTGCACATAAAGCATGTATGAGTCGCCCAGGGAACAGTCTCAGGAAGCTCAACTGTATTAACAAACAAATTAGAAACACAATACTTTCCAAATTTCAGCATTGTATGCTCACTTTTGTGTCAAAAATCTATCTAGTACCACATTTAACTGATTGGATTACCGCTAAAAAAATCAGTCTAAGTACATGTATGATGTAATAGATGCACCTGAACATCACGAATAGGTGGGCATACCTACACAAGGAATGAAACTGGCCAGTATAATTTTCAATGAAAAGGTCAATGCAACAGGTCATTTGCATCTGATTACATACCATTCAACAATGTGTCTGTATAAGATAGTGCTATACATTTGTCTATGTAATACATGTACACTGTTCTGTTGATCAAAAACTATCTCTCAGCTATTTTGTTTATTTGATGTACAATAACAGTTCAGCGCTTGTTCAATAAATTCAGAATTATAAAAGTTTGAGCTGAGGCTGTGGTAACCATTATTGAAAAGAAAGCATTGTAACATCAATTCATAGAAGAGATGTTTTCTTGTGCTGACCACCAAATACGTTTTTGTCTGGGTTACTTTTACATAAATGTGGAAAAACACAGATGTGTAGTTTTTGAATTTGCCATTTTTAATTGATAAGGTCTATAGTGTTTTTGAATTTTTAAATTTGCTATACTGGCTTATCTAAACAGTGTCATTCAAAGTTGTCTTCTGTGGTTTCAGTTTTGGACTGCTACCCTCTAATGACATTATAAACCAGGCCATCAAGGACTCTAACACAGGAGAGCTACGCAGTAAACTCAAGGAGGATGAAGACAGTGGCAGTGAATTTGAATTAGATTAAACATTATTATGTTAATGCCTGGCTATATATCATGTGCAATACCAGTGGAATATTTGTCTCTGACCAGAGCCCCTGTGTTGAAGGCCTCAATACCAGTGGAATATTGGTCTCTGACCAGAGCCCCTGTGTTGAAGGCCTCAATACCAGTGGAATAGTTGTCCCTGACCAGAGCCCCTGTGTTGAAGGCCTTAATACCAGTGGAATATTTGTTTCTGACCAGAGCCCCTGTGTTGAAGGCCTCAATACCAGTGGAATAGTTGTCTCTAACCAGAGCCCATGTGTTGAAGGCCTCAATACCAGTTGAATATTTGTCCCTGACCAGAGCCCCTGTGTTGAAGGCCTTAATACCAGTGGAATATTTGTTTCTGACCAGAGCCCCTGTGTTGAAGGCCTCAATACCAGTGGAATAGTTGTCTCTAACCAGAGCCCCTGTGTTGAAGGCCTTGATACCAGTTGAATATTTGTCTCTGACCAGAGCCCATGTGTTGAAGGCCTCAATACCAGTGGAACAGTTGTCTCTAACCAGAGCCCCTGTGTTGAAGGCCTCAATACCAGTGGAATAGTTGTCCCTGACCAGAGCCCCTGTGTTGAAGGCCTCAATACCAGTGGGATATTGGTCTCTGACCAGAGCCCCTGTGTTGAAGGCCTCAATACCAGTGGAATATTGGTCTCTGACCAGAGCCCCTGTTTTGAAGGCCTAAATACCAGTGGAATGTGAAGGCCTCAATACCAGTGGAATGTGAAGGCCTCAATACCAGTGGAATGTGAAGGCCTCAATACCAGTTGAATATTTGTCTCTGGTCAAAGGCCCTGTGTTGAAGGCCTCGATACCAGTGGAATATTTGTCTCTGTTGAAGGCCTCGGATTTAGCTTAATTAAGCATAATAACTAATTTACAAAATTATTCTTTTAATTGAAAGTATCTTAGGAGAACATTTTTCTTGTCAATGAAGGATAATTTACTCTGTAGATTTAGTCTCAAAGTACAGCAATTTTGAAACCACTCGGTATTAAAAATTCGTAAGGATTAGGTATAATTAAGCTAGACTGTCACTGAACTATTGGGCTTTGGTGAAATATTTGCCTGAAGTATTATGGGGTAGGTGAACTTTTCGTCCGAGAGACTGGGGTGTTGTTGTCAGCCTTTAAAAGCTGTTACTCTAGATCTGTTATACATCAGAATATAGATATTGTCCTGTTTTTCAAATTACTTATTTTGTATGTTGAATTTGTGCTTTATTTGATGAAAATTAGTGATTTCGAAATATTAGTGAAATATTCAGCAAAGTCACCACAGATGGAGGGTCCATATGTACAGTATGTCGGTATAATAGAAAACCATGTACTAACAAGTATAATCCTCAAAAACCTTTTGATAAAAGACTACAAAAGGGAAGAACAGAGAATTAAATAAAGGACCGACTCCCGATCGCGATTAGATATCATGATACCTGAACAATTCATTGTATCGGTGTTAATGAAATGATTGGATATATATTTATACATTCACATTATGAAATGTCTTGTGCACTCTTAAATGTGCGATTGAATGTTTTGCTTCAGTGTATTTATAATCTTATATATATTGCAGCTGCATTATTCTTTGATTTTGTTAAACCAGTAAGCACCAACAGTGGAAATCCTGTAACAGTGGAAATCTGGTATGATCATGCTTTGGTATGTTTTGTCAAACTAGTCTGATTTGAGATAAGCGTGCAGTGCATTCTGTTGCCTTGCCATAATAGCTACACAAGTTAGAGTTTTACATATGTGTGAACATATTTGACGATGTCGGTGGTGCATCTTTTAGAATCTGTTTGAATATAACTTTGTTGCATACCATCATTAATGTTGAAAAGACATATTTCTATTTCAATCCTTATACTGAGTTTAAGTTGAAAACAACAAATGAAATTATTTTTCCTCTTTCCCTGCCTTTTTGTTTTGTTTCATGACAAATTCTAAAGAAACTGTTTTACCAAATGATGGAAACACTGGAACGCTTTCCTATTGATTTGAAAAATATTAACATTTTTACATTAAAATGTTTAGAAACAGGTCTTATGTGAATCATGTAAATTATTAAAAGAAAGAGTTATATCATGTAAAGGTAATTAATTTAATCAGTGAGCAGGCTCTATTCATTCCAAACTCAGATCGCTGCGGAAATGTTTCTGTGAGCAGGTTTCACTTATATGAGCACCGTCGGAGTTTAGGAAATGTTTCTGTGAACATGGTTAACAAATAATGTCTTTGCCTCCATTTTGGATCAAACCTGGTACCTCTGATGTTCTAAATGAGCTAATAAACAATTCTCTCTAGCCCATGCAGTTGGTATGTAGCAGCTAGTATTTTCATAGGGTTACATATAAATCTTCTAATCTGAGAAAATGTATCGATGAGCAGGCCTCACTTGTATACAAAAGCGTTGAAAATGTATTTTGATGAATGGATAAAAAAAAACGTGTTATTATACCGAGTACATCCTTAAAATTTTGGGGGTTATGATCATACACGTTCTCGCGGTCCACACCCCTGAAGTTTGTCATGACAAAATGGATGGTACATGATCTGCTATCTGATTGGATTCAGGTGGGGGAAAACAACCAATCACTAAGCTCACACCGGTCCTTTGCTGGTCAATTTTACTGTTGCACTTCCATCGAAGGATGGAACAAGTTTCATTCACAAGATGGAATGTACTGAGCTTTCGATTCTGTCATGATATATCCCAGGGGTGCAGAGAATGTAGGAGAGTGTAAACCCTGGATGTGACTTGTTTCCACATCTTTATTATTACTATTTATATTTTATTACTTCATGTATTGTAAGCATGTAATTTTGATATTATTTATATGAAGATGTGTATAATTGGTACATGTATTTGTTGTGTATTTTAAGTGGTCTTTCTTGTCGCCTGAATCATTGTTGTAGAGTTCTGTCAATATGATGTAACGATGTTTATATATCTTTCCCTAACGGTGAATGAGAGTGAAGACTAGTTTATTGATGATTGTAATATAGCGTGTGTAATAGTTTGGATCAGGTTGAAGATGTCATAATACCGGTATGTGCACGTATTAATCAAAAGATTTTCTACAAGTTAAGTTGTTGTCTATGGTTTGATTCCAGTCATTTTCTTTTGTATCCGATGAATTGCAGGTAAGATCGGGATCTTCGGGTGTGTTTTTTTTAAACTTTTGCCATTATTCCATTGATTTTTTTTAAACTAACTTAGAAAAAAAATCAAATACATGACAACTATTGCATTACAAAGTAACACAATACGATACATCTACTCAATCCTGAAATCGTGATTCCATTCCATTGCTAATGTATTTCTCTGTATTATAGATTGACCTACAATAAAAAAAAATCTAATCATCTTATAAATTAATAAAGTAAATGAAGTAGGAATCATTACCTGTACTTGTAAAATTATAAAGTACAATTTAAAAAAGCACTTAAATAAATCTAAATCTAATGTGTTGAAGCAGAATGCCAAATATTGTCATTTTTGAACTTCTAAATTTACTGCAAGATACAATGCACTAAATTACATATTTATAATTAGTAATATGAAAAAGTTGATTGAAATCTTATGTTTTTTATGTACGTATTCCATTGAGATGTTACAGTAATTCACATTTTTTTTATCAATATTTTATTTATTTTCCTTTCTTTGTCATATTTTGATAATATACTTGACATAGTCTTTTTCACCCTATACAAAGTGTTCCAGTTGATGTGTCATATGAGGATTAACAACAATACATTTATGTTCAAATAAATAATCGTGGAATTAATTTATTATCTGCATTTAAAAAAGACCGTGCTGTACCAGAATTTTGTGTTGTGGGCGAGTGGATGAGGGAAACTTTGTACATAGTTCATTGTATTGAAAATTGAATGCAACTCCCATTCTGGAGCTTGGGCACGCCTTTGAGAGTAAACATTGTCAGCAAGTTCACAAATGTCAGTTTCAAGGACAAACGGAATATCCTTTAATATAAGGCTAGTACCTGGTTTTGAGCGAATATTTGGAAAACACAGAGCCATCCGCTAATCGTTCGGCCATTACATTATTGATTTTGATCTGTAGTCCCAGTAAAACATCTCTGAACACTGTTTGCATTGATCGATTAGTGAAATGTGTATCTCTGTGGATGCTAAATATTATGTACATGTACTTGTTTGACCAGGTTTTCAGACAATGTATGGTTATTGTATAAATTGATTGTACACGTCATGATTGGTTTTTTTATCGTATTATTAACTGTGTTGTGTTCCTTTTTAAAAAGAAATGTTCGCTAGGACAGGATAACTCTGATAATGCATTTTGGGATACCGTTTGAAATATGTTATCTTTATTGTAAATACTAAAGGGCAGTTTATTGAAACGCATGTTCTTTTCATAATTTCACAATACATTGTTCCTATGGAGGTTTGATTTATACCATTTTCTGAAAATGCTTTTTTAACACAATTAAGTAATCCCGTTTAGACAGTGGATGAAATGTTCATCTCTTTTTCAAAGGAAAGCTTAAGATAACACAACGCATCTTTAAAGTGCATTATCAGGGTTTAACTAAATAAATATACAAACTTACTGGAGTTACAAAAACATGCATCAACTTCAAACATTTCATTTAATCTAAAATGTAAAATAATATGGTAACAGGATAGTGCCAAACAGAATTTTGTGTTGTGGGCGAGTGGATGAGCGAAACTTCGTACCTCATAGTTCATTGTATTGAAAATTGAATGCAACTCCCATTCTGGAGCTTGGGCACGCCTTGTTCATCTCTTTATCAAAGGAAAGCTTAATATAACACAACGCATCTTTAAAATGCATTATCAGGGTTTAACTAAATAAATATACAAACTTACTGGAGTTACAAAAACATGCATCAACTTGAAAAAGTTGTATCAAATTCGTCCTGTATTGCATGCACCATCCCATTTTATTATTTACTTACTAAAAGAAGTTAAGAACCTTTAGGTCTTTAAAAATTAAATAAAAAATAAACAAAGACGATTATCTCCCACCTATCAATGGTGCCCTCTGCTTACTGTTTCAATGACCTTGACGTCCGTTAGGGTGATAACACCATTCAAGTTAGCTATTGAATAGCAAGTAAAAAGAATCACACAAAAACAAAACAAGTATATTTTATTATCACAATACCTCGGATCACAGGTACCATGGCCATTAATATACTCTGTCTCCTGCAGGTTACCATGTGTACTTGAAACCACAGGTGAAAATACAGGTATATCTGTCCTGAAATAAAATTTAGACTCTACGTTTAAAATAACACTTCACCTATATATATACCTTATTCCAATAGATGGTATAAAGTCCTATCCCAACTGACAGGGTGATCACAACACCGTGATAAGATTAGAACAATAAGATTAGGTAGAGTCGGTCTGGTGAGCCCTGACCACTGACCTGACAGGTGGAGACCCTACTATTAATATATAGACAATGGAGGATTAATCACCTATTGTTTAGAGTATAAGTAAAAGTGGACTCCTTGTTTGGGCAACACCCTCAGACATATATAGATATTCAAACTGCTGGCAAGGGTATGGCATTCCATAGAAATTAGAAGGAAATCCATATGAAATAGAGGAAAATCATTAAAAACCTTGGTCCAGATTATTTTTGGACACAGAAAAAAGGGTGTTACCCATGCAGGCAACACACCTGACACGATAATGATGACTACTTGACACGTCATGTAAAATGTCGACAAATTACATTAGACAAGAAATGGCGTGGAATTTCAGTAAGATTAAGGAACTCTCTATTTGTGGTTATGTATTTTTTTTTGAAAAATAAAGATAAGAAGAATGCACAGTTTCCTAAAAAGGTAAGAACAGCAGTTGTTTGTTTGATTTAGTTAATAAACCAGATAAATGGCATTGGTTCAAGCTGTCAGCTCATCACGACTCTACAACTATTGGTATCTAAACTATCTTGTCAAAAGTGTACTAGCAAGCATTCTAACAAAATAAATTTCATTTCATATGCCATATGCCATTGATGAAACTCGTCAAAAACAGTATTAAATGTTCATCAAGCTTGTAGCGAAATAAAACGATAACTACTCTGGATATTCTTATATAAGGTGACATGAAATTTAACAACCTTTTATACAAAAACGTAAACTGAAGGTGCAAGAATATGTAAATTTCAATCAATCGAAATAAAACGAGCTATACAAATGTTTGTTGAAATGAATCATGATTGCGATATGAGATAAATAGCTGCTTATGGGACCGAATATAATGTAAAAATGTGCAGTTTAAAAAACAACTTTTTCCAAATTATACATATGTATAGTCAAGTTTAATGCTGTTGGTATGGGGTTTCACTACTTTTAATTAAGTCTTTCATTGGTAATTGTTCACAAGATTTGTTAGCCGTATTATATCAGCTAAAATGATTCAATAAACAATTCAGTAAAAACACTAATGCAGTCAAACACTGACAAACTGTTTCTTGTTAGACTGTATTAGTGCACACATACAGTTTCTTGTTAGACTGTATTAGTGCACACAAACAGTTTCTTGTTAGACTGTATTAGTGCACACAACCAGTTGATTTAATTTGGGGCCGAATGGAGTGCTTTATCCGCCATGACAATATTTTTTATCCTTGCGGAAAAGCTGTGTTTTTTTTAGCTCACCTGCCCAAAGGGCAAGTGAGCGTATGCCATGGTGCGGCGTCCGTCGTCCGTCCTCGTCTTGTCATCTTTTCCTTTAAACAACTTCTTTTGAAGAACGGACAGGCCTAGAGTCATGATATTTGGCTGAAAGCTGTGTTGGTAGGAGCTCGACAAACTTTGAGAACGAAAATGACCTTGACCTACTTTCAAGTTCACAGTGGTCAAATATGTCAAACGCTAACACCGACTTCTTCTGAAGAACTAAAAGGTATAGAATCTTCCTATTTTGCTGGTAGCTTCCTGGGATGGAGCCCAACAAAGTTTGAGAACGAAAATAACCTTGACCTACTTTCAATGTCACAAGGGTCAAATGTGTCAAACACTTCAAACGACTTCTTCTAAAGAACTGAAAGGTATAGAATCTGTATAGTTGGCTGCTGGCTTCCTGGGATAGAGCCCAACAAAGTTTGAGAATGAAAATTAGTTTGATCTACTTTCAAGGTCACAGCAGTCAAATATGTCAAATGCTTCAAACGACTTCTTCTGAAGAACGGAAAGGTATATAATCTTTATAGTTGGCTGGTGGCTTCCTGGGAAAGAGCCCGACAAAGTTTGAAAACGAAACTTACCTACTTTCAAGTTCACAGGAGTCAGATATGTCTAATGCTTAAAACGACTTCTTCTGAAGAACTGAAAGTTATAGAACCTTAATAGTTGGCTTGTAGCTTTCACGGAAAAAGCCCAACAAAGTTTGAAAATGAAATGACCTTGACCTACTTTTAAGGTCACATGAGGCAGATATGTTAAACCCTTAAAACGACTTCTTCTGAAGATCTGGAAGGTATAGAACCTTAATATTTGGCTGATTATTTACTGGGAAGGAGCTCAACAAAGTTTGCGAATGAAAATTACCTTGACCTACTTTCAAGGTCACAGGAGTCAGATATGTCTAACGCTTAAAACAACTTCTGAAGAACTGGAAGGTATAGAACCTTAATATTTTGCTGGTTATTTCCTGGGAAAGAACCAAACAAAGTTTGCGAATGCAAATGACCTTGACTTACTTTCAAGGTCACAGCTTTCAAATATGTCAAACGGTTCAAACTAATTCTTCTGAAGAATTAAAATTTATAAAATTATAATATTTGCCTGGTGACTGACTGGGATAGAGCTCACCAAAGTATGCGAATGAAAATGACCTCAACCTACTTCAGAGGTCACAGAGGTCAACAACATTTTAAAGGATTTGTTCTGAAGAACTAAAAGGAATGAATTCATAAGATTTGGCTGTTAGCATTTTGGAATAGAGCTAACCAATTTGAAAATGACATTGACCCACTTACAAGGTCACGGGGAAAATATGTCGAGCTATTTCTGAAGAAGAATAAAAAAGCATAGAATCTTATAATAATATTTGACTGGTAGTTTCAACAGATGGAGTCAACAAAGTTTGCAAGTGAAATATTTTTAGTACAATATAATATTTAATGAGAACGTTTTGCTATGACTGCTTAAATATTCAGGTGAGCAATAAGGCCCTCTTGGGCCTCTTGTTCTGATTAGAACTTATTCCTTATAATCATAATTAGTGCTTGCAAATGTATACTGACGATACAAATTTGAATTGTTTCGTCAACTGCTGTCGACTTCAGTCACATGTCTTTAGTTATATATTTAGATTGATCAATAAAAAACAGTCTAAAGTGATATTCAGTTATGTGAGAAGTAGAGGGAAAATAGAGGATAAAGTAAAACATAGCGACTTTTCCTTTTAAAACTTAAAAATGCGATATTTTGCTTTGCATGTGTAAAAATATCATTTACAGGAAAGTAGAAAGTAAGTTTTAAAAGTGCATTTAAAATCTACACTTTGAGACCACATTTTTGAATTTCAAAAAATGCAAGTGGTGTTTTCATGCACGTTCAATTTGCTTATACATGTATATGTTTGCAAGAAATATAATTAAAAGTGGCCCCTAACACCCGGGTGGTCTCTCAGAAAGGCTTGACTGTATATGGGTATTTAGTCATGCAAAAGATCATAAAACCGGTTAATGATAAAATAATTTAAAAAAAAGACATGAGTGTTACAACATAATAATTAAAATGTTATAATCGATCATTACCACTTAACGCAAGGTGTATAATCGATTGCATAACCTATAAATGAATGCTGTGAAGTCACCGCGCAAGTGCTCCAATCGGTGGGAAGTGAAAGCATCTATGCTATTAATGATTTTTCCCGAACCTCGTTTGTCCAGAAAATAATTTCAGCACGTAAATTGATAACATGGTCAACTGATGGATTCACTTTACCCATCATTGTTAAAATCACCTAACAATAACGGTCAGCCGATGACTAGACGCGGGGCACGAGCGTGCTGCGGCGACAATTTCCTGTTTCCTGTACTAGATGGAAAACGCACAACCACTCAGCGTGTTATCAATAATTGCAAACTGGTTTGTGTTAAATGCTGCATTCGTTAAATAGATACTGTTGTATGCATGTCGTCGACATCACGTACTAACCATTCGAGAACAGGTGTAAAGATTAATATTATAAGATATTGTTCCAACAACAAGGTTCTAATTCTGGGTCCAAACAGAACCACCTTGACATTTGTTATATCCGGCTGAGATTCTATTATTCTACAACGTTATTACTGAAGTGATACACATGGGATTTGAGATGATTAATGAATAGCAACAGATTTTAATTAACAAAGTGAACATGATATGAACTGCCTTTTATGGAAATGCGATTTTTAGTGCTACATGTAACGTTTGCAAATATAAGCTAAATGATGCACACAACGGTAATAGTGAAACCAATCTGAACAATATCAAGTCTCGTCCGTGAACACGGAAGGTGTTTTTTGGAAGACGATATATATATTAATGTACAAAAAATGATTCACTTCATCAGCTCGGCAGGTCTAGGGACGTCGCAAGGTCACTAAGCATAGCCTCCAGACTTTCAAACGCATCTATGTTTTCCTTTGACAGATTGGAAGAAGGCTCTGAATAACAAAAGACATTTATACATATACTAATAAAGAGAAATTATTGAAAAAAGATAAGAGTGATGAAGACATAGAACAAACTGCATCATAGCGTCATATCGTGAATAAATTAACTCAAAAGACAAAAACAAAAATGAAGAAAAAATCATGAAAATATTGGAGGCGTACATATGTGCTCTAGAAGGGGTCTCCTGGATTGTATGTGGTGTACGTAAAGTTTGTAAAAGGCAGAAAAAAAAAAGAAAAAAAAAATATGTTCTACAATAAGTGTGTTATAATCGTCCAGTAGCTATAGATTGTCTCTGCAATTACTTGTAAAATGATATATGTTTGTCATTAATCGGATACGGTGACTCACTACTTGCCAAAGTATATTACAGGAAGTGCATATTGTTATTACTAATTTCCACTTTATACTTCCAGTATGCATATTTTTATAACTAAATACAGTCATATTTTACATGTATCGTTCGATACTTCTGAGCTTGCACGATCTTATTGGTAATTCACATTTACCGATTTATATTACCGGAAACATGTTTATGTATTTCTATTTCTTCTTGTCGCTTGATCTTGTAGTTATGTTTTCCTGAACAAATTATGTTGAGACCCATTTTTATATAATATGGTTCAAATACAGTCGAATCTGCTCAAGCAACCATCTGTATTAAACGACCATCTGTTTTATGCGACCACTTTTCATTCCTCCCGACCGTTTTTACTATGCATGTAATTTAACTGTATTAAGCGACCATCTGTCTAACGCGACCAGCGACCATCCAAAACTGGCCCAAAAATTACGTTAAACGACCACATTTGATACATTTTAGCGACCATGTTTGACGAAAATATACCAAACGGTCGTTGAAATAGTTGTGTCACCACATTTGACGAAGGGCTACTTTACGATCTTTTCATCAAGCTCAGTGAACAAATTTGACAAAACCAATTTCCAAACTTACAATAAATTCATTGTATACGCATACAGTCTTATTGACGATGTACCCTGATTTACTGGTCCGAACGAAGCATCGACACTGGTATACCGTTAATGCTGTATTTACCGCATTAAAGTCTGAATCAGCTTACCGTTATTGTCGTATTTTATTACTCTAATGGTTTCATTTGTTTATCTTGTCTTGAATTCCTATTGAAAAGGTAGATCATGTAAACAAATAAACTCACTGATTACGATATCTGCCGGTGCACGTAATGTTATATCTGGGTTTGATTTGGATCGCACGATTATCCTGTAAGTTCCATCTAGAACAAATAATATCAGTCTTTAGTTTAAACATTGGCTGTTTCTAGAAAAAATAAACTAATGCATGCCGAACAAACAATTTTTTCAATTCTGTTTTTTTTTTCTTCAGTTTTCCTGGTCGTTGAAGATGCAATACATATATCATACATTCGCCAATGGAAACTGTCAGAAACAAAATTAAGAGAAATTCAACACAACCGAAAAATGAAATGATCATTGTGGACATCTGCAATCAGTAATAATCAATACATTATACGTATATAGCATTGTTAATATCTGTTTATGTTCCCATCACTAATGATTACTAATATTTTATACTCGCCTGCACTAATAGTGACGCCTGTAAATGTCGCAGTTGGGGCTGTTTTCAGGCTAGTGGTATCAAGGATGGCTGTCAGATTCCCGTGTAAAATATCACAACCACCTGTGAAAGAAAACATGAAGACATCATTACAATATCACATGTAAGCAAAAACACTACAAGACTATATAAGCCAACGAACAAAACCCTTGATATCAGCATACTAGTGCTTTCGTTTCAGGATATTTAATGATTATCTAATAATAGATTCATACAAGGTATAAGGTATATATCAGTGAAATTCAGTTATTTCTTTGGGTTTTCAATATATCTTACTTTTCAATTATACAAAACTATTCTAACTATTCGTACCTTCAACTGATATTGTTAATGCATCAGTACATCCCACATCTCCTGTTACAACTATATCCGGAATCACCTCTCTTTCTGGATTTGAATATGGTGGAGGGTGTTTCCATTTCAGATTTGATAGTTTGAATTCTAGATGATGTAGGAAAACAAACAAAAAATGTATACACATTTAATTTCTTACGGTGTTAATTTCTTACATTTCTTACGGTGTTAATTTCTTACGGGTGTTAATTTCGTTAAACGCAGCGTTGGATATTCGATTACGAGATTATTTGGTTTGCATTATAACCTGACTAGAAATATTCCCTGTCGTGTTGAATTGGCGGATTCTTCGAACAATGAAACTTACGAAAGTTTACCACAAAATGACCTGGATTGATTTCTTTTTACTATTTACCAACTAAATATTTACCATACAAACACAAAATTGTTATGCGCCTTTACAATTAAACATCATATGGTTATGCCAACTTCTAAACACCATATTGTTATATAAACTTACCAACACAATATGATTATTTAGGAGAGGGCCGAGTAAGTTGTAAGAATTGTGCCCAATCCCTGTGATTATTCAGTTTCAATAAAATATGTTTAAATGAATTAATTATTTAAGCCTTTAAACACCATAGATGGTCATTAGAACTTCTCACAACAGAAGCTGTTACAGCATACACGGAGTAAGGCCATCAGATTACTGACCTGATTTCCGTAATCTTTTCAGTTCCTTTGACAAAGTCTCCACATCATCGGCCGTACACTTGATAAATACAACACACACTTGTATCAATCGACAAATGACGATATCGTTTTATAAGCGTTCTTATATTTTCATGTACATAAGACTGCAGAGATAAACATTTATATCTATTTACATAAAGACTGTTTAAAGGTAAAAAATATATCTTTATTTACACAGAGACTACTGAGATATAAACTTGTATCTTTATTCACATACAGACTGCTGAGAGATAAACTTTTGTATTAGTTCAAACAGAGACCCCTCAAAGATAGTTTTTATTATTAATTTACATAGAGATATTTAGCTTTGAGCTAATTTTCTATATATATATTTAAATAAAATCTGCTGTGAGATATGCATTAAACATGATCTGATTTACCCTATCCATATACTGCTTGACTCTAAAACGTCTTAATGATATTAATACAAATACGGGAATTTACGGGCATGATTTGTCATCGTGGTTGACCAAAGGAAAAATAATATATGATAATATACTATTAAGGAATAAAAGTACTGAAATAAACCTGAGCAAATAATTATTTAATTATTATTTTCAATATATATGAATCATGTCAAAACAGTGTAAATTAATTAACTAAATCATAACTATAGCGCCCGTCTAACGCGTCTATAAACAAAGGGTTTATCTAACTGCATATTTCAGACAATAGACACTTTCTGTCGATAAATTTATATCTGGATAACGCTACTTACAACTTCCTGTAAATCTGTATCGTCTTGGAGCAGCAACTTCCGGTAGGTGTTGCAGCCCTGTTTCGAGGAAATAAACCTCAAGTAATGATTCTAAAATTGATCTTAAAGTATGTTAAACACGATGGCCGTCAAGAGCCGGGCCAAATTAGTTGATTTTTCATATCATTGTGTACCATGGTACACTTTTCTTTTGTACACGATGATATGAAAAGTCATTTCATTGTGTACCATGGTTGGTTTACACTGATAGGAAAGGAAAGCTGATATCAAAGCTCTGTTTTGTATGTTTCTGTACCAATACAATGACCAAATCGAGCCATGGTACGGACACATATGAAACCATTTGACAAGACTGTGTTCACATATACGGAGTTTTTATCTCATGGAATGCTGCAATTCCCATTACACCCAGCATCAATTGACATAAACTATTCAATTAATATTATTGCCAATATTATGTCAAGAACTTTTACAACAAAAAAGGAAATCATTTCAACCGATATAATCTGATAATTGAATCATCCCGCATTCACTCGTGAAAATCATAATTAACAAAAAACTCTGTTAGGCTCGTTGTATAATCAAAGGTTAACTTGAATAATATCCTATACTATTTTGCATTTTATTTTGGATTATGAAACGGTGCTTTTATGAGTATGAAATCAATAACACGATTTAATCGAAAATAACGAACATCGTTTTACTTTCACAGTCCTATTAGGGCCCCAGCACTTTGATCAAAAGTGACTATGTACCCCTATTACTGTTGCAGCAGTGTGACCAGGTATATTATTACCGAGGGTCATTTCTGGTCACGGCATTTCAAAGCTTTCATATCTTTCTGTAACATTTTTATGGTACACAATGAAATGAAGGCGACGAGCTTTCGTATTTTTGTGTTCATACCACGGTACACAATGAAATGGAGGCAACGAATTTTCATTGTGTTCTATACCACGGTACAGAATGAAATGGAAGCGACGAGCTTTCATATCTTTGTGTACCATACCAAGGTACAGAATGAAATGGAGGCGATGAGCTTTCATATCTTTGTGTACCATACCAAGGTACGGAATGAAATGAAAGCAACGAGCTTTCATATAATTCTGCCGGCAGTTGTCGGCTTTAAGTACATAAATATACGAACTTTTTAGAATTTCATTTCTCATCTTGATGTATCACACATGGTACAAACACAATTGAGTTTTCATATCTTTGTGTACCATGGTACACAAAGATATGAAAAATCAATTAATTTTGTCCTGTTCGGCTCCTGTTAGCCATCGTAGTTAAATGTGTCAAATGCCTTTAGGTGATATGCTATTTCAAGCAGTGTCTCACATCGTAATGATATCACGTACCAACGAGGGGGAACATTTCGGGTAAGGAAGTTCTACCAGACATATTCTTTTTTCATTTATTCATTCTTTTATCTTATCTGTTTATTTATTTGTCGAAACTTTGGTAGCTTCAAACAAACGTCATTTGAATGCTCTATACATAATATTTCATTAAGAAGACAACTTCACAACACGTTGCCCTGAAATAAACAACAGTTATACCATTATATTACGACTGGATAGGGGTCCAACACAAGTTGTTCTCGCGACAGATTCTAGGACAGGTAGCAGAAACCTTGTCAAGTCCTCCAATTTTGCTTTCAGATATATCGATAATATGTTACCTTAAAATATCAAAAGAAATTGATCGTACATACCATACCGAACTTGAAATCAAGGACAGTTCAGACAATTTAACAAAAACTGTTTACCTCGATCGTTAATTACAGCCTAACCAACAGGGACGGCTAACTACTAAGCTTCATGATAAACGTGACTATTTCGATGTTCCTATCTGAACGTTCCCTTTCTTCATAGTATCACCCAACTTTCCCCAACTGCGGTGTTCATACGTGGTTTACAGATGATTCGGTATTCGGATTTCGAAATATGCAGGGTTTGGGGAAGGCTATGACCTACCGTGTGATTACCATCACGGTATTCAAGTTCATGATTTCGAGTCCCAGTTACGGTCCTTTACACTTCGGTGTTCTTTTATTATATACATATACCGCGTAAGCGAACGATCTACAGTAAATACACGATAATCTTCATATATTACAAGATGAATGCACACATTAAGAGCAACATTTGAGTTTGGTATAATTCTCTTGAGCTCTGAAACCAATTCATGGAATGTCAATTTATTTTCTATTGATTACTGATAACATATAAAATGTCTGAGCCCTGACGGTGTGCTAATATGGATGCAAATTTCCCGTTTTATCGTGAAAAAAATATCCTCAGATGAGCTTTTTCAATAGAAAAAATGGAAATGTTCATCGATATTAATTTTATAAGAGGATTATTTTGCAATAAAGAAATAATCGATTCATTTTCACATCCCTTAATTCCTGGCCGACGATTTGGAGTCTATTGAATGCTGATAAGAGACTGCATGACGATTTCTTTATCATCAAGTTAACATGTGTTGTCGAGACCGTACGTCTTAGAGTATGCACTGCTTTGAAAGACCACGACTTACCTTGCAAATGAAACGGTCGATGTACTGCGTGAACCCAAGTTTTTCCATTGTTTCCATCACCCTGTCCTCTGATCCACAAAGTGCGATTCCATGGAAGCATGTGTAGTTCCCTCCATAATTACCGAGGACCTGTAATCTCCAGTATCGGGAACTGGCTTCGAAATCTTTGAACGACTGGGCTACAGCTGTAAACGTGGCCGATCAGAGATTATTGTTGAAGACTGTTACATGACTTACAGAAATAATATGTCCTACGTAATTTTCACGCGATCAGTTGAGCTTTTAGTACACTGAGTTACACCCAGTGTTACTATTCGTATCTTTTGATTTGTGATCCTAATTATTTAATCTATGGGAATCAATATGTAACAAAATTAGTTACATGTTAATTTCATGCTAGTCTACTCACGAAAGATGTTCATACTTTTGCGTTTTATTTGTATCAAAGAATTAACAAGTGAAAAAATGAAATTCGAATACTATCTTGGATTAACGCTATTAAAACCAATATTTTACTTCGAGGAATCCGAGCTTTTCGACTTTTCAGGGTTCGAATTATCAGAGTTTTATTTACTAAGATAAAGAACAGATTTGGCTGGGACCGGAGAAATACTTCGAGATAAACGGGGTCTTCGAGTTAAAAGAGTTCGAGAGAACGAGGTTCGACTGTTTATACATACCATCGTATTTAGGGTTATTGCCCAAATTTGTTTATATATATACATAGTATAACATACCATCCTCTTTAGGGTTATTGCCCACATTTGTTTACATATAAGGTAAAACATACTATCCTCTTTAGGGTTATTACTCCGCATTTGTTTATATATACATTATATATAGTATAACATACCATCCTCTTAAGGGTTATTGCTCCACATTTGTTTATATATAAATTATATATACATATTATAACATACCATCCTCTTTAGGGTTATTGCCCACATTTGTTTATATATATAGTATAACATACCATCCTCTTAAGGGTTATTGCTCCACATTTGTTTATATATAAATTATATATACATAGTATAACATACCATCCTCTTTAGGGTTACTGCTCCCTGTTCGTTTGCACACAAATGAACCCGTAGTTGTCCAAGGGCCTCTGGAACAGAAATGAGTTATTATAAAAGCAGGAAACGTCTGTAAATCAGAAAGTAGCACCCCAATTACTTAATATGGATGGACTGTACTATTCTAACTCCATACTTACTCTATATCAACTCCTCTTTGAATTTCAAAACACTTCACCATTTCTGGACTATCCCTGAAACATATAAGTCTGTAGACACTAATGTTGTTACGATAAAATCAGTTTTCATTTACTTTACTTCCATTCACTCTGAATTCAGAACGCCATTGCAAATTGACAAAATCCTTTTTCTAAATACTTTGATTGTCCTTCTTTCCATACAATGTAAAATTCTGTATAAACTGAATATTTATTTACAAAAAGCTAAAGGTCTACTAATATGACGTTATGAACGTTAATATTATGTTACTCGGGTAGCAATATCCCTACTGGTATCGCGTCATGAATGTTAATGTTATGTTACCCGGGTATCACTAACCCTACTGGTATGGCGTCATGAACGTTAATGTTATGTTACCCGGGTATCACTAACCCTACTGGTATGACGTTATGAACGGTAATATTATGTTACTCAGATAGCAATAACCCACTGGTATGGCGTAATGAACGTGATTGCTATGTTACCCAGGTCAAAAAAATAACCATTTTATGACGCTATGAACGTCAATGTTATGTTATCCAGATAGATAATCACCCTATTATGACAATATTAAGGTCAATGTTATGTTGCCCTGGTAACAGTCATTCTACCGGTATGACGTAATGAACGTGAATTTAATGATACCCAGGTATCAGTGATCACACCGTTATGACTTGTTGGACATCAATATTATATTTAAGTAAGCAGACATCCTATTGATATGACTTGCAAGTAAACAGTTAATGGTTTCCTTAGTTACATACCATCCATATATGGTAATGCCCGTGAGTGTATGGCTATGACGCAAGTCCAGCACGGTCCATGCGTGGTGTGAATCCTGCATGATCCAGAATGATCTCAGGTTACCTGCACAATACACGATGCAGTATGTTTTATTCACCGAAATGCACAGGAAAGCAACATAATGATACCGAAGTGTAAACAAACCTGTAACTCGAACTCAAAATAAATAAACCAAAGGCAAAATATGACCGAAACATTATTTACATATAGACCCTTGAAAGGGCAAATGGATACCAGGTGGTCTGAAAGGCGATTTACCATTTAACAATATGGCGACCAGAAGTCAACACGAAAGGTCATTGTTATTTGACTTCATTAAGCTAATTAACAGAAGCACCGACATTGAAATCAACATTTTGAGAAGAATATATATAATACAAGAAGAAAATCAGACCTCAAAGCCATAGGCAGACAGCAACACCATTGCAATTATCGTGTATCGTGAAATAGTTGCGCTATGACAACCAAACACCGGATAATTGAACTAATTATAAAAAAAACACCTTTTGATCGTCTGTATACAACAAAGTCCCTTGAGATGCCTTGTCTACGGCAACGTATCAAACCCAACTAAAATGCAATTAATCGGTCGAACGGATTACTTATTAGTTCACACAGATGACTAAATCGTACGCACTGATATTACTTATTCTTACAAACTTATTATTCGTACAAAGGCACGTCTTAGATTTGTTAATTGGCCCTAGTGTGTCATTGTATGTTTTATTAGTGTTTACTGCTTACTGTTTTGATGCGTGATATCTTTGTTTTACCTAAATACTAGATTTGTTTACACACTTTCTGTTGCCGTCAAATGATAGTAAGAAATCTTCATGATACCCAGACAATACAAATATGCACAGGATAATGTACAGTAGAACCTCGTGATACTGCCACTATACGTCCGGATACATTTTGGCGTTATAAAGGGGTTTTGAGATAAAATGAGGGAAATGTATAAAGTTATTCATAAGAAAAACAAGCAAAGGGGAAATTGAAAAATGTTATAGGTAAACGAGGTGGCAAATGAACGAAGGGTATTATATCGAGGTTTTACTGAATACAACACTACAATGTGTTTTATATACCGTCTAGCAGGTTGATGTTAGGGTAGTTTGGTGTACAGCTATTACAGTATTCTGGGGAATTCCTCGTCCAGGACGGATCGGTAGGTATCTCAGGATAACCTGACAGCAAAGATAAAAGTGAAAAAATTGTAACATACCCGCACTTAATCTATAAACAATAGTTATGACCACTCTGCTGTTTCAATAATAAAATATTGATCAGAAGAGCGAAGAACGGGATTCAATATAAAATCAATCATCGTGTATACTCTCTTTAACTGATTGATGTGTGATAACGTGAAAAATATCACGAACAGGTCAAATTATTCGGAAAAAAAGACTAAGCTAAATATAATTAAAGTCTTTCGATATTTTTAAAAGCCAAACTTACATTTTGATGGAGCTGCGAAAAATTCACCATTCTCGCTTTCTATGAATCTGGGTGTAGCTATAGCGCCTGTTAAGCTCATTTCTGGAATATAAAGAAATAGCTTGTCGTGAAGCGTAATTAAGTGTTTATAAAACTAAATATAATAAAACGTATACTCATCATGTTGTGTAGCAAAAGATAATAACACGTAGCATGATTTTGTCTTGTGGCAGGAGTGCCCGGGAGAATGATTTTATAAATACCAGTTGTATCAGTGAGACTTATATCTAGTTTAAAATTCGTTACATTACTATGCTTATCTTAGTAGTATAAGAAATGTAGCGTGATAATGTCGGCTTCGTTAGGTTGGTTTGGCGTTACTCTTTACGTTACACTTACAGGTATTGTCGTTATTTAGAAGAAAGACCCCAAGCTATTCCCATAACGAACAGATACATCCTGACTGTTATCTTGCCCGTCACAATGTACTTAAACGACAACTAAATTTTGTTGCGAAAGGCTTTTCTAATTAGTATTTAATATCGCGCTTGATATAACAACATACTAAGTACCCATTAACATATCTCAGGCGACTCTAAATACACCAATCTACCAGGGGCTGTCTCAGGAGGATGTCTTGTTATTGGTTTAATTATAAAGCTATCGGTATTGCTTAAATGTCTTACCTTCAAATAATTTCAGGAATTCTTCACTCTTTATTTTTGGTAGATCATTAGCAATTGTTTTAGGCGACTGAAAAAATAGTACATGGTAATTTTATGAAAATGAAAACAACAAATACAGCAAACAATACATGTGCATTATTCTTCGAACAAAAATAACAACAATTTAGACATATCATGCAATTTGTTTTCAATTGGCAACACATGATTAAAACATGATTGGCTCATGCTTACGTGATCTAAATATCAGTTCGATACAACCATACTGGCAACATATTTGTAATGCGTCATAATTATTAACCGGAGAACAGCAGTTGTCTCGAAGTTGTGTAGAGAACAGCTGCGTCCTTCTCGTTTTAAGGACTTAAACGAAGTACACATAATTTAATGTATACCCCTTGTCATGCTCTTGTTTAGGTGCTGAACCCCTATCGTATCATTTTATAAGAACACACGTGGCTAGGTTAAATTTCCGGTCATACACTTATCTACACATTGTATATAATTTTAATCCTTAGTTTAATGTTTCAAAAGTACACAGATGTTAAGATCAAGATTAACAAAAATAAGCATACAGGCACAAAGAGCATTTAAACTCGAAATAAAAAAATTATCTCCATCGGAAACCGAGAAGGCACAACAACAAAGTTTCTGAGACACCAGGATCATTAAACATTATTACCGAGAATCCATGGACGTTAATCAGGACCCGGTTGTTCAAAGACTGTTAGCTTAACGAGTAGTAGTTCATGCAAATGTTCAAAGTACCATGTTTGAATCACATACGAAAATTTCCATGTTGTTTGTATTTCTCGTCTTCAGCCAATCTTTTTTTTTTATCTCTATGCTTGCACGAAAGATTAATTAATTAATTATTAATCAATCAACAGTGCGAGTGATAGTTCATCAAAAAGTGAAAACAAAACTAAAACTGGTCTTTCTTACATGTATATTATTAACCAGCAGGGAAAGTGCTTTTTCATTAAAAAAGTAGAAATAATAAAACCTAAAACTGATCTTTCGTACATGTATAGAGATCAAATAGATTTTCCGAAGACATGAAATTACAAACAACAGGAAAATTTCTACATGTGATTCAAAAAGTTGACTTTGATCTTAGCAGATATAGAATACAAATCCGTTACAGATATAATACCACAAGTGGATATGTAAACCAATACTTAGAACAAATAATATACCAAATCTAGTAAAATTAATTAATCAAATAGGCTTATGAAATTAAATAGTTAATTGATTTAATTCAATTAATTAATGAGGCTTTCAACAGCTATTTACTTGCCATAAAGACAATGGCCCTTTCCGATTTAAAACTGTAGTTGTAATGTGATTTACTGGATAACAGGACGAAGGTACACAGAAGAAGTACATGTATAACCACTGTTATACCCTTGCCTATTTACACCCAGTCCTAAAGCGTGATGATCGAACAATGCTGGCATGACAGGTTACCATTAATGTACAATCGTTGATGGATCATAACTGGGAGCTATATCAATGAAAATGAAGATTAAGGGGTTTCAATCTTAAGTCAAGATAAGACTAGAAAACATTGCGACAAAGTTATACATATTACATGTGTTTTCGAATAATTGTCTGATTTGGACGGGTTAGGCCAGTCTCAGTACCCAGGGATATCTTCGCCCATGCAGGTTATATTTCAATGCACGTGATGGCATGCCCTGGTATAATACGCCCCAGAGAATATGCAGATTCATATTCATATAACTAGATACGTATATATATATAAAAACTGTCATTTCCTTAGTATAATAAGACACTGTTGGCAAGTAAACGTGTACTAGGAGTGTAGACACGATTTCGAATAAATTCTGAATATAATATTAAGATAAGATAGATAATACCAGCGAAATACTACCGTACTTTCTGTATCAAAGGGTTATTTGACAATTAGAAAATGTGTATTGGTCTGTTTTGATACTTTTTTGTTAGTTTGGGAACGAGCGAACATTTACGTTCACACAGCCAAACCACTGATTACTCTTTATACAAGAGATTAGAGATAAAACTTATATCCAATGATTCAGACCATCCTTGGATGGCTCGTCTAATTACCGAGGATTTCTATAACCAAACCAGAAAACAATGTTTCCTAGATTTCCGCTCTCTATTCACTACCGATCCGATTTTTATGCAATAAACAAAGAAGACATGAGTGTCCTGGTAAGTAATTTGCTTAGCCTATTTATGTAATTTAACGTGACCTGTCCCCTCCCCATGGTCTCTTGCCTCATTGTTCATGTTCCGCACTGCCGGATTGGCCCCGAACTTCAAGAGGATCTTAGCTACTTCAATTCTGTGGAGGGACATAACATCATCACAAATTAAGTAGAAATATAGTATCAAGTGCCGTAGAATATAATGGGAAATTTACCACTAATATAACATTAAATTGGGCATGAATATTACACAAAATATGTCCTACATATAACACCATATATGACTTCACATAATACCAAATTTGTCCTAAATATAACACTAATTACGTTATGAGCATAACACAAAATGTGTGGTAATTATAAATGACATGTTTGTGTAAACTACAATAAATATAGTATCACATCTCTTATGAAAATAATGTTAAATCGAATATTAATATAATATCAAACTGAGCAGAAAGATAACATCGAATAGGTCATATTTATGATAACAAACGATTATGTCAGTAACATGATATAATTAAAAATACAACACCAAATATGGAATATAGAAGCAAATCTATAAATATAACAAAATGTAATACTTTACCAAAAAGAAACAAATAAAAATCTAGAAAGACACCAAAGCTAGTGGATAATGCAAACAAATCAGGAAAGCCAGATAAATTATAATGCCAAAGTTAATAGATATAGTATATACAAAAAGTAGTTTCAACATTAAAAAATAATAACAGATCCAGTTGAAAAACTAATGCAAACAGTATCAGAAACAACATGACTTTATGGAAGAAACACAAAAATAAAACACATAACTTTGAACAAATACTATATCAAAATTTATTATACTTCTAGTATTCAAACCCCAGTTACATAGCCTCCTGAATCTTACGTCATTAGAAAAGTGAAAACATACTCCGAACATTCGTATTGCTTGAAATTGTTAAAATATTTTGAGTTTCTATGTAATGTTACTTACCAGTTTGTTATAAATCGAATATTTACTTGCTATAATTTGGAACACATTGGAGTGAAAATAAATCAGCCAGAAAATGAGATAACTTCGTACCTACAAAACCTTGTGGCTTCATGCAAAGGTCCAGTCTCCTTAAGGTCACTGATGCCGTTTGGACTGACCCCGTAGTCCAACAGAAGCTGAACGATCTCACCGTAACCACGGATAGCCGCCTCTATGATGGCCGTCGTGTTGTACTTCAGTGATGGGTCGTGGTCAAGCATGATGGAAATGATGTCTATAGGATGAAGGGAATGGTTACACATTGTTTTATCATAAGGGTATAGATATGATGATTATTATTTTTCTGCCAGAATGTGCTTGAAGTTAAAAGACATGCAAATGGTGCCAAAGAACTCTATATCATAGTGACGTTTCATATATTATTCTTTAGTCACACTGCAAATGAAATTAAATAAACTTGATATCTCACTTACCTGTTGCAAGCAATTCAACACTTGTAATTCGATTGTTGATCTCAAATTCTGAACTGTATTTAAGTGTCAAGTAACTAACTCTGCATGGGTGTCGTCCTTCAAATTATGGTTTATTTTACATTTCATCAATTCTTTCAAATTATCAATTAATGAAACAGGCCTTACCTTTTTTGTTGAACATGGCTGCTACGTCAAGCGGTGTGGCACGTGCTTTATTCCTAATGTAAATGGTTGGTGACATCTACAACAGACAAAGGCGATCATACCAAGGGGTATATAAACTGAAAAGCGGTATCGTGTCAATGAAGGGATACATAATCCGGGGATATGTAACCGTTCTTATGCCAATCAGGAGACGCATACACTCATGATAAGTAGTTTTTTCTTTTCTATCTTTTTCCTTTGGCAAATGCAAATCTCCGCCAATGAACAGTATATGCAAAAAACCTTTATATAAGTATAATATATTACATAATTATTATAATGCATAATATACGGAGTCATCCGAATAATATATAAAATATATATATATGTGTTTTGCTTATTTTTTTTATCGTTACAACACATTTCCTTTCACTGTTTATATCAGATGACCAAAACATATTTTGAAAGCAGCTCCAGTCAACGGGAAAAAAAACAATTGACAAAAAATATTCATCGGCTCAATTAACAAAAGAAGACCTCAAGCCAACATCAATTGGGGGAAAATGCAACACAAAAACGAAAAAAACAAATTGATGCTCATTGTTCTTCGTAGGTTATATATTAAATGTTGTTTACATATCCATAATAGACTACTCTACATTGCCCTGTATCGATCTTATTTGTTATTTTAAGCTTTAATCTTTTATTCATTTTTATGTACAGGACAATGTTGTATAAGTTGATCGACCTCAAGCTAGAGGCTTTGTAAGAATAATGAATTAAAACTGATTATCTACAATAAGTATATAGTTCAAGGCAACGAAAATCTGCCTTTAGGAGATGGGACTGTTGCTTGGTTACTAGCAACATTGCTAAAAAAAAAATTATCCTGATTGATTTCTAATTACGGATATGTCAAGTCCACCGTTACAAATATCGCAAATATCAAATACAATCATTCTTATCGCGATGTGTAGTCCCAGAACGAGAGATTAGTTTTTCTAAAAAAGAACGACGGATAATTTCAGCTTTTTTGACCTTGCTATTCCATAGAAATGTTGTTTGTAAACAGATCTCTATGATTAAAAAAACTTACATTTGATTACATCTACCCATAGAAAAACATCAAAACAGCTTAGCCTTAATACAAAATCAATGATTGATCACAAAATCATATTTTTAAAAAGAGAGATATTACCTGGAGTAATTTCAGCATGACGTTGATTCGGTGGTCGTAGACGCATTGGGATATGATGTGAACTGGAGTATTTCCGTCGCTGTTCTGAACATCTATCTGTAAAAAGAGACTTATATTATGTCAATAGTTTTATGTCTATCTACAGATAAGATTGTCCGTCAATATTGGTTACTGTCTGTCCTGTATGTCTATCTACACATTTAATAGTCCGTCAATATTGGTCACATTCTGTTCTGTATGTCCATCTTCAATTAATAGAGTCCGTCAATATTGGTTACTGTCTGTCCTGTATGTCAATCTACAAATCATCTAGTCCGTCAATATTGGTTACATTCTGTCCTGTATGTCTATCGACACATTTAATAGTCCGTCAATATTGGTTACATTATTTTCTGTATGTCTATTTACAAATAATAGAGTCCGTCAATATTGGCTACTGTCTGTCCGGTATGTCTAGTTATAGTCAGTAAAGATAAGATATTGCCTGTTTTGTTGTCTATAGTCCGTCAAAAAAAGGTTACTATTTGTACTTTACGTCTATCCACACGCAATGAAGTCCGTCAATATTGGTTATTGTCTGTTCTTCATATCTATCTACCATCAATATAGTCCGTCAATATAGGATACTGTCTGTTTTATACGTCTATCTTCAAAGGTATAGTTAGTAAAGATAGGATATTGTCTGTTTTGTCGTCTATCTACAAATTACACAGTTCGTCAATTTAGGTTATATTCCGTTCTGTCATCTATATGTAAACAATATAGTCCGTCAATACAGGTTACTTTCTATTTTATTTTTGTAAAACTTAAAAATATATACTTCATAACATATTGCAGAACAGAATAATAATATTTCTATGATACATTTGAATATTTCGTCACATTTGCAGGCACCGCCATATGTGTGCATTCCCACAACATATTTTTGTGCGCTGTTTGTTATGTGACCACCTTTCTAACTGCTCACTGATAATGCCACTTTAACATCAAATAACATGTACTGTAATCATTGTCTGTAGGAGCACACTACTTACAAACATCAGAGAACCGAACATGCATGTTTCGATAAGTCTAACCACCGCGTTTGAGAGCTAGACACGTTGAAGTAAAAGAGCAATGGGGGAAAAGAAGAAGAAAATTAGTTGGGGAATACGCTAAAGCTATGATAAAAAACAACTGCAGATTTTATATTAAATGTTAAATGACGTTTCTATATATCCTGTCGAAAAATCGACGTTTAGATTTCTGGTGCTCTGGGGGACTGTTGTTCACCATAAGCAATGCAGACTCCATTTCTCTCTCGGTACTTGTACGATACACTTTGATGTTGGATATGATGGCATTGAATAATATTCTTTTGACTTCTCATTAACGATTTTATAATTATTAAGTGATTTTCTGACGATGTTGAGGGTGTCATACCGATTCTCTAGAGTTAAAGATGAATAGAACGTGACTTTGCATGCGGTGTAGTCCACTTGCGTTGGAGGGCACTATTTGATTATACTTTGATTGCGCCAGCAGCAACCGAGGTTTTGTCTTTGTAATTGAATACATATCAAGTGCACTGGATCTGCATCTTAAGTCGCTACAGTGCAAGGTAAAATCTGATAAATATCTTAACATGCAACACAAATTTGTGAATTTCGTCAGTGCAAGTAATGCATACAAAAATACTTTCATTTCACAAACAGAAACTGGATATCATCTTTTTATTGAGGTTTGCGAAATGAAATTTGACATTTAATATTACTTAAGCTTAGCAGGATTTTAAGATGATTGTTATGTAATGAAAAATTTAAGAAAGTACTGCTATATAAAGATACACGTAAGCATTGTTCTGTTGAGATAAACCGTACTCTACCGTTGTTATGTACAGATGGATAAACCATACTTTACCGTTGTTATGTAAAGACGGATAAACCATACTTTACCGTTGTTATGTAAAGATAGATAAACCAAACTTTACCATTTTTATGTAAAGACGGATAAACCATACTTTAACGCTGTTATGTAAAGACGGATAAACCATACTTTACCGTTTTTATGTAAAGACGGATAAACCATACTACCGTTGTTATGTAAAGACGGATAAACCATACTTTACCGTTGTTATGTAAAGACGGATAAACCATACTTTACCGTTGTTATGTAAAGACGGATAAACCATACTACCGTTGTTATGTAAAGACGGATAACCCATACTTTACCGTTTTTATGTAAAAATAGATAAACCATACTTTACCGTTGTTATGTAAAGACGGATAAACCATACTTTACCGTTTTTATGTAAAGATAGATAAACCACACTTCAACATTAACAATACGTTAGCATTAATATATAGGGATATACCGTTCACAATTATTGTGGTGCATCCATTCAAAGTCCCTGAGTAATTTTATGCAGAAACATACCATACATATTCTTGTAATTTAGGGTTAAACAATACCTTAGCATTGTTTTGTAAACACATGCCATACAATAGGCCTTTTCTGTATTTAAATACCATATATTAACATTGTTTTGTAAGGATGTATCATCCCTAAGCTTTATTTTGTAGGGATAAATCATTCTTTAAAATGGTTCTGTAAGGATAAATTGTAATTTGATATTGCTACGTAAGGATAAAACCATACTCTGACATTGTTTTGTAGGGATAAGCCATACTCTGACATTGTTCTGTAGGGATATACAATACTTTAGCGTTGTACTGTATTAACAAACCTATCTTAGCATTGTGTTGTATTGATAAAACTACCTTAGCATTGTTCTGTATTGATAAACCATACCTTAGCATTGTGCTGTTTTGGTAAACCATACTCAAACATTGTGCTGTATTGATAAACCTGCCTTAACATTGTTCTGTATTGATAAACCTATCTTAGCATTGTGCTGTATAGATAAACCTTCCTTAGCATTGTTCTGTATTGATAAACCATACCTTAGCATTGTTCTGTATTGATAAACCATACTTTAGCATTGATCTGTATTGATAAACCTACCTTAGCTTTATTCTGATGTAGTAAGTCCATCATGTCGGTCTGTCCCGCGAACACAGCTAAATGGAGTGGGGTGTTACTGGAATTAAATCAAAAGCCTATTACAGAAAACAGCTAAATGGGGTGGATTGTAACTGGACTATCAACGAATAAAATTGACAAATTTAGATCCCTTCGAACTCATAAATTATAAATCATTTTTCAATATTTCGTAGTTATCTAATATATACACGAATCGAATCAAAAAGTATACAGCATCGACAATTTTCACTTTGATGTAACTCTTTTGCATATTTACATGGACAGTTTTGCTGTGAAAAATCTTTTAAATTGTTAACCAAACAACGTTTCTGATAATTTAATCTATTGACTCCAGACGTTAACATGTTGGTGTTACCCTAATTGAACGATAACTGAGCAGTTTCTGAACACACATTGTTTGATAAATTGAACTGGGTGGTCGAGTGGCGCAGGGTATAGCGCATTCGCCTTTCACAAAGACAGTCTGCGTTCGTGAAATCTGCCCGACCACGTGGGTTTACTCCAACATTAGGACCCTCCGCGTACTTCCATCAGGATGACGGGCCAATATGAATGATTTATTATATAAGTTGGAATAACTTCTTTCATAATTATTTTAAAACAAATACATTTATGCATTGAACAATGACAGATTGTAAATGTTGAATAAACACTCTGTTCGACACAAAAGGAGAATTATTGAAAATGGTGGTGAAAATTTGTCATTTACATTAGTCGTGAAAATCACAAATAATCACTAATTTCTTGTATCAGAAAAACACGAACAAGGGAATCAACTTTAGTAGGTCCATACAATGTTAACGTCATTGTTGATACAACGTCAAAATATATTTCTATATGTCGATTTCACAATCAGTGAATCAGTGCTGCTGACAGGAAATCGGTGTCTTACGTCAGATCGTGACTCATGTGAACCAATGAGATTACAACATCCTATGCAAAGACAAAATATATACCGTAATTAAAAGATTGACACGACAAATTAAACTGGGGAGTCAGACAAAAGACATATAAATGGTTCAGTGTTTCGTATCCTTACCCTTTGCTGTCAGGGAAATCGACGTCTGCAGAGTGAAAGAGCAGGGTCTCTGCTACATCCTTGTTACCTAGATACCAAACGAATCAGCGTCTTAGGCAATATAAGGCAATCAAATAACCATATCAAATATACATAACTTTGAAGTAAACTATGATTTATTACGTTTTCTTATTAAAGTAGACTTTCATTTCACTTGAACGTTTTTGGCTTAAAAAGTAATTAACGATCAAAGAACCATCCTTCAGTTTTAGTCATGTCTTCCTAACCTTACAAGGTTTAAAAAATAATTCTATCGATAATCATATGTTTGGTCCATCTGCACGGAATTCCCTTTTTTCATCTCATGCACAAATATATCATCATGTTTCTATTCAACTGATAACTCTTTCATTGTTTGGGTACATTGTTACTGAAGGTTTCAAGTTGTGTCTGCTCCAGCCTGTTTGACTGCTGCCCTCCGAATGCATCCTCGGTCCCTGGTGAAAAATACTTCAATAAGTTTTAGTGCGATATCACATGGGACCGAGGATGTACGAAGGCATCATAACATAAACCTACCGTTAAGAACGGCAAGGATGAGCGGCGTGTATCCTGAGGAACCCGTCGGTTCACGACAATTGATGTTGATGTGGTCAAGCTTCACACGGATACGACCTCCAGGCATGCGCATTGATGATGACGCGGTTGTTTTTTTCACCTGATAGCCTTTGTCAGGTAACAACAGTTTCTAAAGAAAAACAGAACAGAAATCAGAATACATCTAGCATAGGTAGACCGAACTTAGCTTGTTCATAGTAAGGCAATACCACCTAAAGTCTTCAGTTATTTTTTATGATATAAATATAAAATCGTTTGGTGCCATCCATTCCTTTGCTTCGTTATTTGACCAATATATGTTTTGTTTGTGTTCGTCCTCATAGCCGTCGTAGATACTACAGATTTTGTTTATATCTCGATAAACGTCATCATCAGGACTATATGTGTTCTGTCTATCCTGACATCCGTCATAAGTTAGACTATATGTGTTCTGTCTATCCTGACATCCATCGTCATATGACATACATATGTTTTATCTTTCTTGTCATTCGTTGCCATGAAGACTGTACCTATTGATGGCATACATTCAGAAGCGATTCCAAAAGCAGGAACGGCTGGTATGATGTTTAGCTGTATCCTTTAGTCATACTTACTTGTATTACATGATAAAATACAGTTCTTTTTATGCGTTTATAAAATTTATTTGCTATTTTACTTTTGTCCGTATTATAGCTATATTTAGGTATAGCGATAGAGGCATTTCTTTTTTATGTGTCATCGAATGTAGAACATAGATAAAACAACCTTAGCCCCACAGTTTGTTCGCAGGAAAGTACATGTACAGTGTGATGATTTACTGAAGACATCTGAACGGCATACATTGCGTGTCTGAGTCTCCCTATCTTTATTAAAGCTTGCCACATGTCCTCGTAAAAATCATCTCATTCAAATGTAGAAAACAAAGTTATACTGGACTGAATATGAATGTAAACCATCGAATTGTCCTTGGTCGCACTGATTCAGACTGATAAACAACAAAGATAATCTGAAATCGATTAATCCCTTATTGATTGTCTATTTCTGTTTAATACTATCGAGCGAAAGTGTCAAAATAGTAATCCCAGGTAGTCAGGCCTGCTACCTTTATTTGTTTGATCTGTTTGTTTATTATTGCTCCTATAAAGATAGTTCAAACGCCGCCTGGCGGTGTGAGATACCAATTAATTCAAACCGAATCTCCGCTAACAGATGAAATCTGGCACGAATAGATAAGTGACGTATTATTGTGTTGCTGTGATGTGTTAAATCACATACTACAGTTTCCTGTAGTTCTAATTCATTCGACCTTCTCAACAACTAATCATATCTATTATTTTACAGTTGGAAATTTCAATAGTCCACCGGATGTAGTATTAAATAGTTACACAATGAGTCAGGTGTAACGTTCGATCTGTACATAAGTAAGATAATTACATTACATATACATTTCACCAGTAAAAAAAAGTATGAAAACCAAAAATATTTAGTTTCTGGCATAAAATAAAATCGATAATCAATGAAAAGATCGAAACCATTTTTTACAATACCATCGGCTTGTTTCTGAATTCCTTTATCCCATATTTGAGGAACATTATGGCAACTATCTACATGTATATCTGTATTAAAAAGAGGCTATTTCTATTTTGTTTGCCAATCAATTTCTGGTTTCACGTCATGTCCAATGATGATACTTCAAATACTTTGATTAGTTATCCATACATACCCTTAAATTTAGAAATATGTATGAAGCATTTAAAAAGGAACTTTGTATAAGTTGTTGTGCCAAAATAGTACAATATCTTCACCTTACTCCCATAACATGAGAGGCCGCTGGTCGGCGTTTTTTCTATCGGATATGATTTTGCCGACTGCGACCTCTCATTTCCGAAGCACTAATTCTTTGATGCAGTTTCCGCCCGAAATCCGGGCGGAACAAAATCGGCTTGAAAAACTCACTTTAGTGGTTGACAGTTCATGACAACGATGTCTACTCCCGGTTTATATAATATAGATCTCATATGTATGTCACAGACACAAATATATAGTATATTACGGAATAGAACACTCAAAATACATGTCCATGTCGTTGTAGCACATCTCTGACCTACATTTAAAACATGGCTTCCTGTACTAATACAAAATAGCAGAGGGGATTTCAAACGGAACGAAATGATACGGAGTTTGTTTGTATTCCGCGTTTGAAACATTACATGTAATCCATTTTTGTATTAACCGGAAAAATCATTGCAAATGCTGTCTGCTTCGCTTCGAATGAGGAAAAACTCATTATTTATGTCTTTGACACGAAGTTATTCTCATATAATCATGGATTTATGGAAAGGAATATTTATTGGACCCTTTTGACCATTTAAATGTATGTAAAAACGATATACTCTTTCTTAATCCGAACTTTGAAAATGTGATCGTCAGCATCGGGAAAATCAGCTATGGGAAGTTAGAGGTTACGCGGCGCCTGTCAAAAGTTTTTCGCCGTGTAAAACCTCTAACATTGTTGGAGTAATCTTCACCTCTAAGGCCAATACCACAACGGAAATTGAAAACATCAGAAGATGTGAAAACATTGTGTTACGATTAATTTGATAATTCTTTTAGGTTTTATACTTATAAACCACCCACATACTTAATATGGAAATACGTCTCGTATTGAATTAGCAGTCGTGTTGTAGATTTAATAAAGTTAAACACTATGATGCGTTCCTTATTTCCTGAAGACTATGTCGCTATTATTTAGCATTACCATCAATACCTTTTTCACACTTCCTCGTTGTAGTCCCAGTGTTTACTTAAGACATGACATCCGTATTCCGTCTTTGCGTATTGCAGAGTTATCTTCTCTTGTGAGCAGGGATTGATTGTTACATCATTGGTTTGTGTAAGAAAATTACGTCGTTTTCTCAAAAATTGATGACGTTTCTCTCACAAACAAATGACGTAACAATCAATACCTGTTCACAAGAGAAGATAACTCTGCAATACGCAAAGTCGGAATAGCCGTACCATGTAAAGAATGTTCTATCAACAGTTTCTTTTTCTGTAAATATTGTTATGTTAGTAATTGCCGATGTAGCTTGGTTCGTTGGAAAATGTTGACGATCTTATTTGCACCCAATCGACAATTTCTAACGATGAGATATTTACCAATATATAAATAATTATTCGAATCATTTGCTTTATGTATAATGGTGATTATAAGACTTTGTTTCTGTTTCACAATTATAGCTAATCAATCAGGTTTCTTACCTAAAGGCTCTACAGTTAATCAACTTATGTCACTGTATAATACTATAGTAAGTCAGCTGGATGAAGAAAATGAAATAAGGCTAGTTTTTTGTGACATAGGTAAGGCATTTGACAGGCTGTGGCATAGAGGATTAATACATAAATTGGAGAAATACGGAATTAAGGTTAATATGTTGGTGTGGTTCGAAAATTATATCAGAGATAGAAAACAAAGAGTGATATATGATGGTTTCCATTCTACTTGGCAAATGTTGAAAGCTGGGGTACCTCAGGGCTCGGTCCTAGGACCATACTTATTTCTTTTGTATATTAATGATCTGGAAAATGAGATAGGATGTAATATAAAATTATTTGCTGATGGTACTTCATTATACATAATAATAGACAATACTCATCAACAAGCAGCTAACAGTCTGAATGAAGATTTACACAAAGAATCAAAATGAGCAAATGATTGGGGTATACTTTTAAACCCAGACAAAACTGAATTTTTAGTAGTATCTAAGAAAATGTATGCAGTGAACCTACATCAACACCTAGTTTTTAATAATACTCAGGTAAGTAATATTACAAATCCCACAAACTAAATGTCCTAAGAATGTTAAAATATAAAAATTGTAGAAAGGCACTTGAAATATTGTATACTACATTTATCAGACCTATTCTAGAGTATGCTTATGTTATATGGGATAACTGTACAAGATAAGAAAAGATATCTTGGAATCTATCCAGCTTGATGTTATTAGGATAATTACTGGTCTAAGAAAAGGCACTAGCCATTGTATATTATATAAAGAAACAGAATGGGAAAGTTTACAGAAAAGGGGGGATAACACAAACACATTTTTCTTCTTTAAAATATACACAGAAGAAAATACACACAATCTTAGGCACTCAAGAATTGTCAATGGGCCTCTTCCTAGAACCACGCTATATGCTAACAGGTTTTTTCCCGGTATGATGAACACATGGAACAGTGTCAATAATAACTTTACTAATCTTATTACTTTTAAAAGGGAAATACAAAAGACAATTGTAGGGGACACAGAACAAAATGTATGTACACCTTTATTTTAAGTGATGGGGATGAGGGGCCGTAGGTTCAGGGGGTTGCTTTGGTCAGCCGCCATCTTGGATCCGCCATCTTGTTTGCCATAGCAACAAAAAAGATGGCGGATTCAAGATGGCGGCTTGATAAACACATTACATTAAATACATTACAAGAATTGTCAATGGGCCTCTTTTTAGAACCACGCTATATGCTAACAGTTTTTTTCCCGGTATGATGAACACATGGAACAGTGTCAATAATAAATTTACTAATCTTATTACTTTTAAAAGGGAAATACAAAAGACAATTGTAGGGGACACAGAACAAAATGTATGTACACCAGTATTTTTAATACTCTGGTTCACGCAAAAGTAATATACTCATATAATATTGTGTCAATTAAGAAATGGTGCTAATCAACTTAACTATGATCTGTTTAAAGATCACTTGAAAAACAGTCCTTGTAGTCACGCAATTGAAAACTCTTACCATTTCTTTTTTTAATATCCTCACTATACAGATGATCGAAAAACTCTTATGCAGGATCTTATATTAAATGATGTAGATTTCCATAATACAATATCTTTAAATGCTATTCTAAATGGTAACACTAATAATACTGATTTACAGAGCAACCAATCGATGGGGTGTGTGCATAAATACATTTATGCTACAGGACGGTTCAAATATATTTGATTTTCCAACTCATCTTAAGACATATCTACTTCAACTAAGTCCAGGTACATTTTTTTTATCAGCATACATGCATGTATCAGTTTTTGCTTTATTTCATGATGCCGTGGCAAACTTTTAGTGGCTCAAGGTCAAGACGAATATCCATATAATTAATTCGATTTGGAATACTGAGCATATTTATAACGGTATATTTAATTCGTCTTGACATATATTTTACAACTATATTAAATATCAATATCGCAAAGTTTGCATTTTGTTTATTTTTTTATCTCAAGTCCATGTATCACATGAAATAATGTAATTTTAAAACATGAAAATATTGATCCACCCTAATTATTGTATATTACCTCGCAATAAATGTACCCAAGTGTTATGAGATGAGATGAAATATAATGTATCTATGTAAATATTATATCCAATGTTTTCAACTATCAAAAGTATGCAGGAAGCCATGGAGAGAGCTTCTATAGGCAAAGCCTGTTGCTCAATCCCTTTATCAATTATAACTAATACTATTATCTATATGTTGTAAAGCACTTTTGAGTAATTTTACAAATTATATAGGACGCTATATAAATGTTGTATATTATTATTATTATTTATCACAGGGACCAAACCAGGGCTTGTATAGTATAGCTGGGGTTCTACTCCCTCCTCTCGATAATACTTCAACACCCCATCCCATTATACTTACACAAGTCCATATTCCATTTGTCCGCTCATCTGAATGCACTAAATATGCGGATTGACCTTTGCTATAGTGTATTATTGAGTAACCAAGTATCCTTACCAATATAACGGTTTATAAAAAAATTCTGGTCGCCATACTATAATCTTCTTTTTTGAATTTAAAAAGTAAAGTAAATCTGAAGTACCCTCCGGCTACCATAGAAAGCATAACATAAGCATCATATTTAACGACGGAGTTCATTGGCTTCCGTACAATACTTACACTTGAATCCTTGATAGATATGAAGTGCCCATTTTGCTTCCGTTGAAATCATAACATATGCACGCTTCTTGTTTTTAAAGTGCACGTTTTATTTCCGTGAAAATAATAGCACGTGAACACTATGCTAATATAATATGGAGAGCCTGTTTCGTTTCAGTAAAACGATTCACACGTGCAAAATCTTCAGATATGAAGTTCTTGCTTGGCTCCCGTAGAAAGTAGAAAACGTGCACGGCTTTACTCAGTAGAAGCCAAACACAGGCAGGACAAATATACCAACTGATAACGTACCCGCCATGCTTCGGTAACTATCTATATAGGCCCTCTGTGACAAAGTAGGAAGTGTTTTAGAACCGAAGGTAATACATTTTCACCTTACCATCACCCGATACATCTCACTATCGCCACGTTACAGTAATGTAGCTAAGTATAGGCTGATTTATGTATGTGTGAAACCTTAAAGACTTGTCAAAACGAACAGTGACACTATATACACCAGATATTGGAATGTAACACTATAGTCACACAAACACACATATACAAATCGGGGGAACAGTCTAACCACTGTTATACATATAATACAAATACATTATCTTTAACACATTTACACATTTATGTTGTTATTCATATACACTTCCTATGTATATATATATACAAATCTAATGATTTAGAATGTATATAGGCGTGACGCATGTGCCTCCCAGACAAGATACGTATGTACCAGTGTGAGAGTGTTGGCGACACTGTTAAGATTAATATCACGTCCGGTACGTCACCTCACTAAAATTATTATCTATTTACCTGTAATTTCTGTTGGTCGTTATTCTTTACAGCATTAAGTAAGTCGACTTCCTTGCCCATTATTCTCGTCCAACCAAAGTATACGTCTCTAAAACATAGGCATTGAGGAATTATCACAACAGGAAGTGAATTTATACTATTGTTGTGCTTTTCGTATGGTTCAAAGTTTAAAGTTCAAAGTTGAAGCGAGTTCATATTTATATAAAGTGGTCTGAAGTAGGATGTCGTGTATTATACGTCATTCACGGGATCATTTTAATAGTCAAATTGCTCATGTCATTTATAATAAAATAAAGCAAATATTTAGATAACACATTTATGTTATTATTATTTATACAAATCTCCTTTTGATTGGTGCATACTCTATTTGTTTAAAAATATAGATATAACAAGTCTGAAAAAGGTTTCATTGTTGATAGATTATTTTAAGTTAAAAGTACTCAAAAGGGCCTAACATATCGCACCAAAACATGCTGTAACACTATTGTGTTTACGCAATATAAGGGTTATTTAATTTTGTTTATGGTCTTGCGACCAACTCTCTATACAGATTATGAGATAGAAGTACAATGTGATACATAGAATAGAAAGATACCATCATACTCCAGCTATATTTGGGGTGTACCATTTGCAGTACAGAGGCTTGAAACAATAAGTTGCGGATAAAGTATTATTGATGAAATTTATAACAACAAAAATTATGACGTAAATGTCGTAAAATATTTTTCTGTTTCTTTTGTTCAAGTGTATATGACGTCCTATCATAAGTTAATAAATATAATATTCCATATTATAAACATAATATTTCTTAATAATCTACTGCCAAACGTTTGATGCATATACCCTTGAAATGGCAGTCATCATGATGCATTTTGTATGTATACCTTATAAAATTAAATATCCCTACCATAATAGTTTTAAGATGAAATTAAATAGTCCTTTATGCATAATAAACAAAGTCCAAAATTTAAATATATTTTATTACAAGTAAAGCATGAGAAATAGCACACATAATCACAATATCTTAATGTCGTGTTGTGGTATCACTTCCATCACATGGGAGCCAGTGCAATTGAAGTAGGTATCTTAGCTGTGTTCCTTGTGTCTTTTAATTCCAAAATATTTTACACAAGCAAGACACGTCGTTAAAGACACCAAGGACGATATCTTTGTTTTGCAACAACTTCAATATAAATAACTCGCATTTTAGTGGAAACAAGTTAGTTTCGTGTCCGATTCGTTTACTTTTATTTAACAATTTTGTTATATTTCAAAGAGATATTCTTAAGAGAATCGACAAAAAAAACTTTGATATTTTGAATAAGAAACAGTTATCTTTAATCATCATGTAAATAGTACTTCAACTGCAAGTACGTTTGAACATCAATATTTTTTTAAAGTATGCCATTTAAAAGGTTGAAGTATTTACTTCCTGAGCAACGTCCAGATGAGAAATCATTTGGCGAGAGCAGGAAACACACAGTCTACCTTCACACTTCATCATCAATTTCTGTTGTCGTCCTTATAGTTATCAATTGGACCCTTGAGTGTTGATATGAATGAATTCAATCAAAAATACACACCGCATCTATTTTGATTTCAACATATTCTTTCATACCGTGTTTGTGCAATCACATGCATTCAATTTAGTGTTGTAGTATTGTACGTACAAAGAAGGCTTACAAGATATTGCCTGTTCCGTGTCATTGTCAGAGTGTAATCTTGTTCTGTTGTACGTTTAGTGATAATAAGCCAAGATCGGAATGTTCTTTTTAACTGGAAATGTTAGTGTAAAGTACTGTTAATAATCATATTGATAATATGGCTAGAAATACGAAGTCAAGAAGCGACATTTTAAAAGTGTAGTAAGTTGATGCAGGAAACCAGACAAAGAGGATATCTACCGCTCCAATTGACTTTAAGATATTTTTGGATTAAAAACTGAATAACAAAACCTTTCGCTCTAACAGAATGTTTGTTTCAAACTGAAATTTCATCTAAACCGTGCTTGAATTTCAGCCAAAATGTTAATTTCGACCTCGGGGACCTATACTCCCCCAGCAGTCAGTAACCCACTTTGCGACTCTAGATTATCTCAGGAAATACTATGTGAGGTTGCAGCTATTGAAACAAATAGCATGTTGATTGAGTAAGTCAGAGTTAATGAACGTTTTCCTGCACTACAGGTCATTTTTCCCTTTTCAAATTCAGCAGTGGTACGTAAAGTAAACAGAATAACTATACATGTCTAATCTGTTCTGGAATATTTGTAGAAATATAGCAAAAGGCAAAAAGGTACATATAAAATCTGTATCAACAAACAACATAACAATATTATTTTGGCTTCAATGGATAAAAATAATGTATATCTTTACACTAGTTCTTCATGTTAACAGTACCAGAGTTAATAACGGCCACATGGTAATTTCAAATCTCGGAGATCTATTGTTCAAAATCACCTAACAAGTAAAAATACGTAGTAAGGAATCACACTTTAAAAATTATATAATGATCAGTGGGTGGTAGGTAGAAAGCCGAACAAAGTAACAGTTTTCTACACAACCTGACCATTATAATTCATCAGTACTTTTAACTACATCAATCCTGTTCTGTGCTGTCGTAAGTGATAATCAACTCAGTTTGAGAACTCCTGTTTTTAGTAGCGTTGGTGAATACAAGGCAAGCATTAGGGTGTCGAATGCCAGAGATATGTGTCCTCCTTTTTTGTAGTCTTCATATAAACAACGTAATGTATTATTGTAAGTGTAAATACTGTTATCGTGAGATGCCTCGTTCTATAGTATTATAAGTAATAATAATGCTAGCCATGTACGACCTGTTATGTGAAACTAGACTACTGTAACTAGGTATTTCTTGAATCGTGGTATTGTTAGCGCTAAGGAAACACGTAAACTAGAAAACATGTCCTTTTCGTGGTATTGTTGATAGAAATCGCACTGTAATCGAACGAACAAGTACGTAATCATGCTTAGACGCAGTGCAGGGGTTCTAAGGCATATTTTTCACACATTTAACGAGAATCCCTAGGGTCTCACCTATTCTACTCTGTTGAACAGTCATTCAATATCATGGTCACGCCACGCAACATTACGTACTATGTACCGATGGACATAATACCATGGCGACCATATGTTTTCAAATTGGATTACTACGCCTGCTGGTTACGAGAACATATAAGCGCGAACTTGTTAATATCTCCCCAATCATTGGCGGATTACAGGTATGTTGGGTCAATAGAATTACTTACAGATCAGTATATCACTACTTCATCCACCTCTATACACACACACAGTGATCAACCTATTGTAAGAATACCAGATACATTGTACATACTGTTTATAACACAGATTGGCCAGTGTAAGGTTAACTGGTGTCATTCAGTCTCCTACAGTCAGTAACAATCCGCTCACTGCTAATCACGACTATGAATAACTCGACCACGACTTCTGTTAATATAACAACCACTGATGATATTCCCACTGTGACATGGAAACGGGTCATAACTGGTATAGTTCTGTACGGAATTGTGCTTCTGACAATATTTGGAAACAGTTTAGTGCTAGTAGCAGTGGCGAAAACTAAAAGGTTACAAACAGTGTTTAATTTCTACGTCATCAACCTTGCAATTACTGATATATTAGTGGCAGTGTGTGGCATGAGTTTCTACACCACCAACACTGTACTCGGCTACTGGCCTTTCGGGTCCTTCCTGTGCGGAGTTTGGATTTTCTTTGACTACGGAATGACCTTCGCCTCTGTGTTCACCCTTATAGTAATATCTATAGACAGATTCTGGTCAGTGACATGGAGCGTGCACTACCGGGCACATCACAATAAGAGCAAGTGCATTCGGCTTATCATTGCTGTCTGGTAAGTTGGAATTGTGAATGTGCTCTTTTAAAGCGGAATTCATTACAAACGTATCTTAGACAGAATTTCGTCTCTTCTTCGTCTTCTTTTATCTGTGCTTTATAAAGGAGCATTTTTTTTTTCCATTGATAGCAACGAGGAATTTGGCAATACGTAAGCTATACGACGCAATGTGTCTCCACTTTAGCGCAGCCCCCATGGTATTTGTTTTCGTGAATGTTAACATAAAATGCCTGAAAACACTAGAAAATCCTATTCAGAATTGAGCAAAATTGTTCAGATCATCATACAAGCAACGCTACGTGTGCTCCAATTCTTAACAACAATTTACTCTTCGCTCTCAACTGATAATGCAATCATCCCTTTGAAAAGTGATACTAGTTGTGTATAATGTCATTGTGACACACAATACAGATATGGATTGCAGCATCAGTACACATTGTATAGAACTGATAACGTAATACCGAAGTGCTAGCCTTAGCTTGTGTGTTTCCTCTTAAAGTGAATTAACAACATACTAAGTCCTATTCACGTGAAGTAACAATACGATGGATCTACCAGCTGGTTTATCCGCTTTCTCGGTGACATACATCAGTACTATAATTGTTAAAACAACAGACTCTATTCGAGGTTTGCTGTGTAGTGGGCCTTCCTTTTCGTAGTTGTTTTGTGGTGTGTTATCCTTTGTCTTAACGGTTTGGTGTTGTTATCTTTTTTACTTCAGTCCATATTCAGTCATTCCATCACTTTTCCTTGTTTAAAAGGTACAGAAGGTGACGTTTGCCCTGATTACTAAATCACGTTATAGCACTAAAAGTGTATTGTCCTTATAATGTATTAGACAAATAGTTGTTACACTTCAAAGAAATTAAATTGCAGTACAATTTTTGAAACATGCACTTGGAAACTATAACGACAATAAGTTCACAAGTATTTTGCACTAAAATGGAGATAATATTCCTGCAAAACACTACGGAGAGGTAGATTGAACTAATAACAATGGGTAAGACAACGAACCTGGATAATAGAAAGGTCGTAAAGGGAGAATAATGACCAAGGGGAGTATTAATAGAGGTGAATGCTTTGAGTGTTTTCGTTCACGGTAAAAAGGTTTATTGAAAAAATTTGAGTAACACATTTCTTAAATGGATTTATTTACAAATATAAAACTCAAATAGCAAAAACGAACATCTTTAATCAATTGATAAGAGTTACTTATGTTCAAATGAAATTCAATATTCCTATTTTCCACATTTTGTTATTAAGAATATGACTGTTCATGTAATATTTAAAAACGAATAAATATTGTTCAATAGTATAAGCAAGACGGAACGATGTATTTAATAACACCGGTCAGCACGTCATCTGTATGAAATAATCCATGAAAAGGTATCGCGTTATTCTCTCAACAATTAAAACAGAAATGCAAAGTGATGATATTTCTAGGTAATTACATTTACCCTTTAATCAGTTAATATAAAAATAGGTAAGCTGTTAATAGAGTAATTTCACTGACATACGCACGTGTTTGATTGTCCATCAGTTCATCAGTTTGTACGAACGTTACTCAGTACGTGGAGAATCCTATCAATTTAACTCTGAAGTATGCTCACTGTACGTGCTAACTCATAACTGCTAAATTGGATTTGGAGAAATCAATTGAAAGTATAGGCTATCCATACAAATGCATAATTAACTACCTCGTTATGATACCTGTCGTAGTGACGGCTTGTACGTATTTCCTGTCGGATTGACTGGGTCTTGATTTATTTCCGACAATTGTCCTTCGGACAAAATGTTTACAACCGATAAACAAAGTTTCTAGGGCATCAAGACTGTTTTTTTCTTTTTTCTTTTAAAAAAACCCCAAAATTGAATATTATGACAAATACAAACACATAAAAAACATTACGAAAAAAATAGCACACGTTAAAACATCATAAATATTTGATTTCTACTTCAGTTAAAAAAAAAATCTATTTCCAAAATAAGTTTATTTTTCTTCAATTGATTTTGTTGTCTGGCGTATCTGCAATAAGATTGTTTGGTTGTCTTCCAACTATCTAACTTCTATAGTGAAAGAGAAGTAATGTAATGTAAGACCTAGGTAGTAAGATATGCCTATGGCTAATTAGCACACGAGTTTATTAGCAATCACGACTTGTTTATCGAACTTCAAAGGATGTGATAGAAATCCCTTGTGAAATATAAAAAAAATCTCAAGAGAAGTTAAAATAAAAAGTAAACGTTAATGTAAATTAACCTCTTTGATTGCAATTCTTTCTGGTTGCGGTTGATTTGTTCGGAATATACCAAGCAACTCATGATAAAAAAAATAGAATTATTGCAAGGCAACTAAATAATTATTCATGGCAAGTTTTGTTCAGATATCTATATGATATAATATATCTTACACAGTTCTACAAATATCTCATTAAATTTCTATATACCTGTATATATACTCAAATGGTATATCAAATATCTGATACAGAAATTATACGAGATGTCTTATATTCTTTATAAGACATTCAGATAATAATGAATATTCAAAATTTATTATGAAATTCTTTCTATGCCATATGATATGTCTTATATAGGAAACAAGATATCAAAAATGGTATATAAGGTCACTGATATCCAATATAATGAACACTTAGGGAAAACCGAAGGGTCAATCATCAAAACCGTTATTCGCTCACAAAAATGTCAACTTGAAGGGTGAGAATCCTCTCATTTATCGACATCCGCTATGCTATTTCTTTTATCAAATCCTAGATACGCCCTGTCCTCAAAGTAGGCTGAACCGTGGTAGTGACAAGGACACCGAAAAACACACTAATGAACTTCATGAACAGGTATACATCTATATAAACAATGACATTGACTATTTTCCGAATGAGATCATGATGTTGATAACAAAACTCTCACATAGTCTTCATACGCTTGTATCTCTCGACATGATATGTTGTAAGTTTGTCAGTCAGTATTCGATATCGGAAATGGTGATATTAGGAGAATGAATCAGCTGCGATATATTTACACCGTAGGTGGGAGACGCAGGGATGCAACTATCGTAAAAGGGAAAGTTCATAATCGAAAATTGAAATTGTCACGTTTGTCAAATACATTGTTAGTGAACCATCCCGGCTGATCATGTTGTATTTGCATTGTCCATTATTTTATGTTCGGGAGAGTATATACGATCGACATGGTCAATAGTCTTGCCGTTGAAACAGATTGTTGATAAATCTGATATATCTAATTTTTACTACGAATTGCGGCTTTGTCAACAATGTGGTATTCTTTGTTCGGAATACAAGTTTGATCTAACTCATAGCTTGTATTGGCATTCGGTTCTAAATTGCTATATGTAGTGCAGAATATTCGGATTGCTAAAATATTACAGAAATTTGATTCGTCAATCTGAGGTCTACCTCTTCTGGGATAAGCTTAACACATTGAAACGATTTTAATTGCGCTGTTAATTCCTAGGTAAACATTGTGTAAATGGATATGTACCGTTAATCTATACTCATACCTCTGATGACAATTATTGAACATGATATGTTATTATTCTGTACAAACAAAAACACCGCCTGGCACTTCCTTTGTTTATTTCAGTTTTAAATCAACTATCGAAAACTATCATTGATCTGGTTTTATGTTTACAATTGGGAAGAAGAGATTCAATAATGAAAAGCACACGCCGAAGTAATTATATTTACCATACACAATAAATGACCTTCGCGTTGGTGTTGTGTACGGAATAATCATGTCAGGCGATAGGATTTTTGGACAGGTACACTTTGTATATTATCAAACAATTTATAAACGATTTCTCTAATCCTGTTAGCTGAACATCATTGGAATTATCAACATATGTTTCCTTCAAACATGTATTTAGCTTCAAGGTTTTGCTGTTTAATCGCATCGAAACGAAATGATATATATATATAAGATAAAACAAAACAAAAGAAACACAAGCATATTCATAACATATATTCATTTTACTTGCAGGGTATTCATGATCGTGTTGTGGCTGCCTCCGTGTGTGTTAGACAGGGTGAACAATGCCGTACCAGGGCAATGTATATGGGAACCGTCAAATAATAAAGAATTCGTGATCGTCATAGCAACCATCGGACACCATGGCTCTTTTGCAATACTTCTCATTTGTTACATTCGCGTTTTTTACGTTTTGAGAAAAAGAAATAATTTAAATTTGGTGGGACCACTACAGAAGGTACAAGACCAGCCTAGCACGTCTAGGGTAGTCAATGGCATATCAAACAAGATCGACGAAAGTCAGTCCAAAGATTCCATCGAGGAAAGCGCAGTTGCAAAAGGTACAGTCGCGAACAAAAAGATAGAAATAAAGAAGTCACCAACAAGCTTGTCACCACCTAATCGAAACGGAATCCACCTCGATCCCATTTCCATTATAACCATTCCGTCGACTAGTCAAATAAAACCCGACGCAGCAATGGTTAACAACGATGATGTAAAAAAGCAAAGGCAACAGCTGAAAAGTGACAGAAGAAACGACCGACACGAGAGGCGAGTGTTCATAACGTTAACCTACATTTTGATTGGTTATATAATCTCCTGGCTTCCATTTCACATCGTTTTTGACGTCAGTGCTATAGCACCAGATAAAGTGTCAACAAACGTGTTTGTGATTACCTTCTGGATGTCCTACTGTAATTCAACAATCAATCCATTTTTGTATAACTTCAGTAGCACGGATTTCAGGAACGCTTTCCGTGAATTGTTGTGCAGAAAATGAAATACATGTACATTGAAAAAGCAATATTTTGATTGGACGGACCTCCACTCAGTGTTGTGTAATAAGGATGTTTTACGGAGAGAATCATTCAAGCTGGTATGACTTGTCGTCTGATTCTTTGGCACTTTACTGCGATAATATATGTTATTCTATGAAAACTTGAGTGATGCTAATCGAAGTAGTGACAAACCGTTTTACAAATGCACTATTAAATCTCGACATCGATTATCGCATTAATATGGATATAGGCACATACACATTGACGTCATCCAATGTGAAATAAGTATCACATAAACACTGACGTCATCCAATGTGGGATAAGTACCACATACACATTGACATCATCCAATGTGGGATAAACATCACATAAACACTGACGTCATCCAATGTGGGATAGATAAGTACCACATAAACACTGACGTCATCCAATGTGGGATAAGTATCACATAAACACTGACGTCATCCAATGTGGAAAACGTGTAAAAATACATGGAAAAACGCTCACTTTATATTAATGGATCGTGTTGCAGTTGTTCAATATTTGAATATGTTTTATCAATTACATTTGTTTTGTTAAATGAAACAATAATGACAATACACTGGAATGTACACTATTTTGTTCAAAATGGTGCACTTCCTGCTCCTCTTTTTCTATGGTTTTGTATTTTGCAAAATTGTTATAATAAAATTTAAAATGTAAATTTTAAGAGCATTTGTTTTGATTATGTCCGTGTCATTTATACCTTTTTAATGATAACGGATCTCCGTACATGTACCACTGATAAACTGTCAGTATGCATTAAACACTTTTTCCCGGTATGACCAAAGGTCTGATCAATCATTTCTAAAATGAACATCAGATTTTAGGGAACTGTTATGAAAAAATAATACATATGAAATAAACAAAGCATTATACATGTACTGTCGCTCTGATTAACGGTAGAACAGTGGCCCAGTCATGCTACATGCACACAGTTATATATACAAAAATATATTAGAGATCAATGTATGTACGAAAATCAATCTTAGGATTCTCTAGTGTTGTGGAGGCAGAGGGACACAGCTAATGTCGACTGAATGAAATCTTTACGACACTAACACATGTCTATATGTGAGCTATACGACAGTAACATGTGTCTATATGTTAGCATTACTACAGTAACACATGTCTATATGTTAGCTATACGACAGTAACACATGCATTTATCTTAGCTATACGACAGTAACACATCTCTGTATGTTAGCTACACGACAGTAACACATCTCTGTATATTAGCTATACGACAGTAACACATGCATTTATCTTAGCTATACGACAGTAACACATATGTTACTGTAGTAATACTAACATACAGACATGTGTTAGCATTACTACAGTAACACATGTCTATATGCTAGCTATCCGACAGTAACAGTGTGTCTATATGTTAGCTATACGCCAGTAACACATGTCTGTATGTTAGTATTACTACAGTAACATATGTGTCTATATATTAGCATGCGACAATAACATGTGTCTATTGTTAGCATTACTACAGTAACATATGAGTCTATATATTAGCATGCGACAATAACATGTGTCTATTGTTAGCATTACTACAGTAACATACAGACATGTGTTACTGACGTATAGCTAAAATATAGACACATGTTACTGTCGTATGGCTAACATGTAGACATGTGTTAAGGTCGTATAGCTAACATACAGAAATGTGTTACTGTCGTATAGCTCACATATAGACATGTGTTAATGTCGTATAGCTAACATATAGACACATGATACTGTCGTATAGCTCACATATAGACATGTGTTACTGTCGCATAGCTAACATATAGACACATGTTACTGTCGTATAGCTCACATATAGACATGTGTTACTGTGGTATAGCTAACATATATACATGTGTTACTGTCGTATAGCTCACATATAGACATGTGTTACTGTCGCATAGATAACATATAGACACATGTTACTGTCGTATGGCTAACATACAGACATATGTTACTGTCTTATAGCTAACATATAGACATGAGTTACTGTAGTAATGCTAACAATAGACACATGTTATTGTCGCATGCTAATATATAGACTCATATGTTACTGTAGTAATGCTAACAATAGACACATGTTATTGTCGCATGCTAATATATAGACTCATATGTTACTGTAGTAATGCTAACACATGTCTGTATGTTAGCTATACTGCAATAACATGTGTGTGTATGTTAGCTATACGACAGAAACACATGTCTACATGTTAGCCATACGACAGTAACATGTGTCTGTATGTTAGATATACGACAGTAACACATCTCTGTATATTAGCTATACGACAGTAACACGTGCCTGTATGTTAGCTATACGACATTAACACATGTCTATAAGTGAGCTATACCAAAGTAACACATCTCTGTATGTTAGCTACACGACAGTAACACATCTCTGTATGTTAGCTATCCGACAGTAACACCTCTCTGTATGTTAGCTATACGACCTTAACACATGTCTACATGTTAGTTATACGACAGTAACATATGTCTTTATGTTAGCTATACGACAGTATCATGTGTCTATATGTTAGCTACACGACACTAACACATCTCTGTATGTTAGCTACACGACAGTAACACATCTCTGTATATTAGCTATACGACAGTAACACATCTCTGTATATTAGCTATACGACAGTAACACATTTCTGTATGTTAGCTATACGACAGTAACACATGTCTGTATGTTAGCATTACTACAGTAACATATGTGTCTATATATTAGCATGCGACAATAACATGTGTCTATATGTCAGCATTACGGTAGCTATTTAAAACTAAATGTTAGCTTTGCCGAAGGTCTTTACGAAAAAATCTAACGTTTAAATTATGACAGCTACGTACGCCTAAATATTAGCTATACGGCGGGTATATACGATGGGTTAAGTTCAAAACAAAATTTTGAAAATAATCCATTGAATTCGCTTTCCCTTAAGACTCTTATAAAAAGTTCAGAGCTTCTTTGATACTCAAAAATCAGCTCTAACGCTTTATATTTTTCAAATAATGAAATGCTACAAAAATAGGCTGGCAGTCAAGGTAAAGGTTAGAACATAGCATACAGCTATATTTGATTCACACGTAAATCTTTTGAAATACACTACAGAAAACAAAAACCGGTTGTTTACCATCATGACTGAGTAAACAATAATCAAATTTCTATACAATAAATCAAATAAGGAAAAAATTAGGAAAAGACCAAATCTAAAATCCGGATCCTACATTGATTTCTTTATAAATTCGTTACGGCCCATCACCACAAAAAATATCTAAACGCGTCACGTGGCTACCGGAACCATTGCTAGCGAGGAGATTGGAAAAGAGTTGGCACGCTGATCGCCGGCTTTATCAAACGAAAACATCCGTCCATACCTGACATTGTTAAGAAGTTATCGTTTTGGCCATACTACTATGATGAGGACAGTTCGGAAGTAGTGATTGATTACAGGTATTAATTTGACGCTAAATATCGATTACACATTTCTTGAAAAGAATAGAAAGAAAATTTATTACGATAATAAAAGGATTTGTGAATATGAGTGAAATAAATACTTGTAATCCCCTTGTGTGAATGACACGTACAAACCAGTGATCAACGTGTTTGTTTCTCTCCCCGAAATCGATTTCCGATTTTTTTTTTTTTTTTTACTTAATGCAGCTTCATTTACATGAGCTCATTGTCTTCCGAATAAGTACATATGTACTGACGATAGATATGAAATGGTAGAAGGGAAATATGTTTGTGCATATTGGTGTGTATGTAGCTTTTTCCTTTTTATCATTTTATTTTATACAACAATTTGATACACAAAAATATGATGTTATTTTTTCCTTTTGTACTTTTTGTTTAAAACAACAGTAACTTGTAATGAAATATGAGCATACTTTACTTCAATAGTTTAATTTATTTTTCAGGTCGGATAAATTGATGTGTAAAAAACACCTCCCTAAACTAATTTAACATTTATTATTATACAGCACTTTAATTGTTTATCATTTAAAAACACTGTTAATTAGTCTCTTTCTAAAACCTCAACTACAAGTGTTCCGACTTATTTATTTATTTATGATTTCAATTCAACAGACCCGAGAGACAAATTATAGAATTAAAACCAAATGTTAACAATAATACAGTAAAATATCACAGATAAAGACATACATGTAGATAACAATGTTGCATACAATAGATATTGATGGAAATTATTTAAAACATACAGCTTTTAAGCGAGAATTGAAAGTATACAGAGTACATATCAAAGATACACTGCAGTTCACAAGAATTTCTGTTAAAAACTCGTATTGCACGCTGAAAAATGCTGAATTTCCTGACATTTATTCTACTATGTGGACAAAAAATTGTAAAAGTGCAGAGGACCGTAAACATTGTTTTTGAGGTAAAATACCAAATAACAAAAAATTACCAGATATGAGAAATCCAGCGTAAGGGTAAAATTGCCTATAAAACCTTTATAACGTTTCTTTGTAATGTTTTGTCATAACATATAAGTTAAGGTATGATACTTGTGTAAAAAAAATATCATTTATATATAGTATCGAATATGGCATATTCCGTCTTTTCGTATAGCAGAGTTATCTGCTCTTGTGAGCAGGTATTGGTTGTTACGTCATTTGTTTGTGAGAGTAAAACGACGTAATATTCTCACACAATCTAATGACGTAACAATCATTAAAAATAATTAAGAACTAAGAAGGGGGGAGGGGGGAATTAGAGGATTTTTTAATTGTTTTTAATTTTAATGGTTTATTTTTGTGATCATTTATTAAAAAGAACTGGAAAAAAGCATTAATTTTTATAAAAATAACTTTTGGTTTAGAATATCAAAAAATAAGTTTCTTTCACGTATTTCTGATATGCACTTTCGTTTATTACAGCACATCGTTATATAGCTACTTGTGCCTTGATCAGTGGTGATCATTGAGGATCAGACATGTAGTATAATATTGATGGCGACATCAGTCTTTGATTTACGTGGTATCACCGCCATAGACAGACATTATTAGAGGTAATTCTCGTGTTAGAGTCTATAGACCCTAACGATGGTTAAAAGTGCATTGTATTAGCGTCTTTGAGGAACGTCTCAAGGAGTACAGATACGTGTTAACTCCGCGCCGTCGTCAGTATACCGAGAATTTATCCGATCACTGCGTCGATGCCGTCAAATTGGCTTTAAGATCAGTACTTAGCAAAGACACGAGCTATATTTTCTGCCACACTTATGAGGTGCATTCTCGATTCTTCGACATAGGGAAGAGATAAATCTGGCTTGACCTACATAGGCAAATATATCTCACACAAGTTGTTATTATGAAATCGTCAACATCTCATTGTCATTTGATGTAGCGTTACCAAGGTACATGTAGCATCTTCAATTTTGCCTCACGTTTCATGTAGCCTTGGTGATGGCGAAGTGTATTTTTTAACAATATATAATTACGGTAGGAAAGAACAGGAGAAAAATAATAAATCACTCCTGTGTGATGAAGACAGAGAAATCCTAGCCCTTGGGATAATTATTTTTTTGAAGTTTAGCACTCGCCTTTGCTTCACAAATCTTACCCTTAGGTTGTGATTC